TGTTGTTATAACTTCTCGACATTATTGACAAGTGGTGAACAAGTTCATATTCGTATTTCTATTAGTCATCTAAGTTAAAAACAAACACATTCTTGTCCTGGCGTAAAATCAAAGAGTAAAAACAGCATGCAAGAACTGACAACAGTATAACTTACATTTAAATTAACCTGTGAATAAAATATACCTGTAAAAACATAATAATTTTTAAAATGATAACATAAAGACTGACAGCAAAAAGACCCAATGCTTATCCGCCCTGGGCTAGCACTATGACAAAGAAATATAACTTTAAAAATATGCCCGGGAAAAAAGGGGAAAAAAATTTAAAACGATTTTTTTCCATCGTCGTAAAAACCACAGGTGCAGATTTTGAAAAGTTAGTAAACTTAAATACGATAGTGTGTTTTCCAGTGGTTAACTCACAACAAATGATGTAGGAATCTAAACGGTCTTTCATAATTGCTGTATTATTATGTTACTTTGAATATACATGTAATCCCATTGCATTTTGGTCAAAAATAAAGTGAAGCTTCAAGTCTAAGTCAAACTCCGATTTTAAAAATTGACTTGAACTTGAAGCTCGCCGATCCCTGGATCATCCAATACATGTACATACACGTATACGCATTTGTATGCAGCATGTATGCATAGTGCCTTGCCGTGGCGTGGGAACGTATCAGATTACATATCGGCCGACCGCAATATCGATCGGTTCAAAAATAGATGGTCCGCGCGGGAATTGACCTGGATTGACCCGCAAACGTTCGGGTTGTCTGTGACGTAGGCAAGTCACCGACATATTTTTCTAAAAATGACTGCAAGTGCGCAGGCGTGCAAATTCCCGCACGATGCATAGGCCAAGTTCGTATGTGCCCCGCGGCGCACTCCGAGCGATCGAACCCGAAAATGACTGCGATATCAGCGCGCGTGCTCGCTTCAAGTGTAGGTTGGCTCAGTGCGGAAAGGGCATATTTTTCATCATTTGGCCTAAAAACAGACAGAATCCACCGATGTTTGTTGGGTGCACATAACGTGAGTATGTCATGAGGTATTGTACGGAGTTTAGGGGCAAACTGTGCAGCGGTTCTGTGGGAAATAGCTTATTTGGAATGGACGTTTTTGTACTTAATTAGTGTTTTGTGTTGACAACAATTTTGCGGGCTTCTGACTCTATGAGGCTCATAGTTCTAGGAGTAGGTTGATTGCCCTCAATAAACCTTCTCAGCGCTACTTGTATAGTAATTGTAATGTACTATGCGTCATGCTCCACTGCACCCCCACTCCTAGCTGGAGTTACCCAGCCCTGAGTTTTATCATTGGGTTGTCATCTAGGGCTGGAGCGAGTTTTTCTCGTAACTTGTAATATAGGCAAAAATTTTTGGAAAATGTTCAATTTTGTCCCCGTTACACACTAATTGCAACTGCAACTCACCCCAAACTTGCCTGGAATAACCATTACACAGGTCCTTGAAGTAAAAAACGATGAAGATTCAGCCTACAATTGCAGTGAAAAAAGGAGGAATAACCGCTAACCTGACAACCTTGCAGGCATGGCGAGGACTGCAATTGGATTTGTGCACAAAAAAATTGTGTACAATGAATGGCGGTCGATTACCATGCACAGCGTGCTGGTAGTGGTACTAGTGGTTTTTGCCGGCTGCGCTGGCTGTTGGCGCATGACGTCACGCGGAAGCGTAACACCCAATGACTGTTTCATGCACTATCGGTTGCCGTTCCAGTACCGCAGCTGTGATGCGAGTGGTAAACCTCATATTAGTACGGGATACGGGGTGGACTTTAGCAGATGCGCACGCGTGTTGTTTTGGTTGAGCATCCAAGCGTGACTCCGTATCCGCGTATCCGGATACGAGGTGGAATACATGTAGGTGAGTGGCGGGGTATTCTGCAATTGTGCCACAATAAAAGAAGAATTCTTATTTTTAGGGGATGGGAAAAAAAAAACCTAAGAAATGTCGCCAGCGTAAACCTAGCTCAATGCAGTGACAACTGGTTCCTGCCATGCCATGCAGGGGCCAATTTAGAAGACATGATGAAAATGCGGTAACCAGTCTGTGCATGGCTATGCGATCTATAGCGCTAGCATGGCTATGCATTGCAGGCCGGTGTATGTATTTTCCGTGTTCAAGAGTTCATTTTGAGATCGCACTTATCGTATTTGGAGTGATACATGCAGCGTTTTTCCCGAAATATTTGACCGTTAAAACAAGGTCTGTCGGCCGCGGGCCACACATGCACAGTGCATCACACACTTCGGAGTTTTGGCCAGCTTCCCGTCTTGACTAGCATTGTGCATATGATGCGAACAACCTGAATTTTCCATTATTTTTTAAGAATTATCGAACGTAAATTTATGGACATTAATTAAGGTAGGTTTTATTCACTTTTTGTGGCCATTTTGTGTATAGCTTTCTTAGTGCAATGGAAATAGTTAAGGCTAAAACTTTGCATATAATTGAATACTCCATTCAATCTGCATAAAAAAATTTGGCCCCCCCCCAAAAAATTCCGACCCTATTTTTGAAAAGCATGTAATCGGAAGCAGAAGTTTTTTTTTTCAGCCTTACTACATCCACAAGAAAAACTTTTTTCAAACTTTGATTTATTACCGATGCAGATTGCTAGATGTCTGCAGTTGTAATCTGGTATTTGAACATGTACACAGTGGTTTGCATACTGGATGGTGTTTACAATTTACATTTCCCAGCCTTGGATTTACTAGTCTGTGTCTATTTACAGTCTGTGCCTGATGGAGGTCAAAGATTGACCTTTTATAACAATAGATTTATGCAAATTAGTCAGGCACAGTATAGTCAGCTGATGCATGAATTGCTCTCAACATTTATGTAAAGCACACTAACACAGCGTCAAAAGCTGATGGTCATGTGACTAAATGGTGTGATCAGGTGATCAAGGCATTTTCACAGTCAACAAGCTACATTATTTACCAATAAACATGTGTCAAAGTCACTGAGGTACGTGACTTGAAACCATAGAAGAACAAATGTTTGTGCATTGGTGCTCAATTGAAAGAATGTATATTGACTGTACTGATTGTACTTTGTTATTTGGCCATATTGCAACAGCTGTTCATGTGTTTATTCTGAGTCAGATAAAATTTGCTGTCAGGTTAAGTGAATTTCAGGATTGTAGATGCACGTACATGTTTAAGTCCCAGATTTTTTTAAGTTCAAAGATTGTTCCAATGAGTAAATTATTAATTTTTGGATTTGGGTTTGGTAAATTCAGAATATTTTTGTAGTTAGGATTTATATTAGACTTCGCATATGAAATGTCTTTTTCTTGTTGAGCCTCTGGACTGCCATAGATATGTTGCTGTTGTTGCATGATGTCTACAAAAGATTTATGCTTTTCCATTCTGAGGAATGTTAACATTGTATTTGAAACATGAACCTGACACATGTATACATGTACATGTAGGCCCTACATATATTATATATTTTGAACAGTAGAGATGTACATGTTTTAGAAGTACATGTTCTGGATTTTATCTCTTTGACTAGGCCTACTTATTATTTACCTTTATTTAACAGAATCAAATGTAAACGCCACATGAACTTGAGATCTGATACATTGGATTGTTGTCTCCAATGGGCACTGTTTCGGGCATGTATTTTAGCTTGCCGTACACGTACACAGAGTCAAAGAGATTATTGCACAGGTTTTCACACTAGGCCTGGGCGAGTAGTGAATTTTTCTACTTGAGTACTTGCAAGAAATTACTTGGGAGTAGTCGAGTACTCGCGACTAGTTAACCGAATTCTCAAAAATATTGAAAGAAAAATGACAGATTTGTTTGTATGATGGGAAGTTACTACAAGCAAATAGCATGCAAGTCACACCACATTCTTCAGCACTGAGACATCCCTACTGTGCCACGTTTTGGGTCATGTGCTTGAATTTTATTCTTGATGAATGGAATCCTAGGGAGAGAGAGATGGAGGAAGTGATTCCCTATTTGCAGGGGACGTACCGGTACTAAGCTATGAACCCTGAACCCTAAATTGCTACTCGCGAGTACCTGCTTCTGTATGCCAGGACGAGTACTTGAGTAGATGAAAAATCACGAGTAGCATAACGAGTAGCATAAACTACTCGCGAGTACTCGAGTAATCGAGTTACTCGCCCAGCGGTAATCCACATCAGCTGAAACTAGAACATGTAGAACAGGATGAAAGTTGACAACATGAAAATAGTGGGATGATGAGCCTTAAAGTTGATCTGAGGGCTTGAATTTAAGCCGATTAAAAAAGACTTGTATAAAAAGCAAATGTCTTCCTCCATGGTCCTATGAAACGGGGCCCTACAGGCAATTCAGAAGACAAACACAATGTCACATACACTGCGTATGTGACATTGTACATTGTTTATTCTGTTTGGATAATTTAGTTCAATACATTTACATACACTGTAACTAAGATGTACATCAGCGTAAGGTAACTTAGAGAGAAAATGCTGAATGTAAACAAACACATGGTTAGAACAAATGAACTTTAATCTATTGACTGAAAATTCACACAGAGTTATGAACTTTGACCAGGGAAAGGCATGCCCGGTGCGTGCTGGCAATTTCTGTTTGTGTATTACAGATACAGATTGTATTGTATTCTGAAGTGCCACATATATCGGTACTGTACTGTAAATTCAGAGACAATTCAGAGTTTATACACCTTAGTACACACATAACATGTATAGGTGGGGGTGGGCTGATGTTTAATGTGATGAAAACATCTATTCATTTGCACACCAGTTTTCATCGGTTGCTATGTGTCACCATTCAGCACTCCAGACTCAAGAACCATTGAGTTTCAAGAGCATGTTCTGGGACCTAGATAGGCCAATTTGAAAAATTCCCGGAGGTCCATGCCCACCTATACTTGGAATATGTTCAGCTGTTCTTTTCTTAATGTACATAAACTCAAATAGTAATTATAATTTGATCATTTTTTTTGTTATTACAGGGTAAACTGGACAACAGTTGCATCACATATTGTTTGGTTTCTGCTCAGATGTTGAAGTTCAGTACTTTGAAGTTTGAAAGTCTCGACAATTATAAGACGTGGGTGAAGTGAAGTTCAACACATACAGGTAAGCGAGGTTAATATACAGAACATGCTTGTTGCTTACTTATCGTGGCTGTTATGATAGATCACATGAGCTTGAAGGTGTACAGTGGAATCAATTTTAGGCATGCTGTTTATAAAATACAACACTGATTCTATGGTGGAGTAGTGCTATACCACAATCATCAATGGCATTGTCAAAAAGTTTTTTTTGCGCACAGCTACTGTAGTTGAGCTGCTAACTCAAGTAATCGTGGTTAAAGCGTGAATTTCTGCATACAGGGTCATAATAGGACATTGTTGATTTTTTGAGTTGACACGCCTTGGATCTTGCCTATTTTTAGGGGCGGGGCTCAATTTTCCTAAAGGGGGTATGCACAAGAGCCCAACTCGGGAAATGGAGGGGGTGCCCCAAGGCAAGCAGGCATTCCCCCCCCCCCCCCCCCCCCTCCCCATTTTAACACTACACTTGCATGTACGTGTAGCCGTTTTATGGTTTGTTTTTAATCCAGTATGTTTAGACTGTAATCTAGTTGAATCTAAGAGAAGGTATAAAGAAAATACTTGAATGTTCATGGTGTAAATGTATTTTTGTTTAGACTACAGACGCAGCAAAAATGTCCGTTAAGAGGAAGCGTAACAGTCTTAATGAGAACGATATCCATGAGGATGAAGTGCCACCTAAAGTACCACGCACGGTAAGTCCAGATTTTGCACAAGTTAGATTTTGACAAGTTTAAAAAATCCTACTATAAGGGGCCTAATAGTATACAACATGTATGTTGACTTATACAGTTATGCAGAGAAGCTCAAGGTATTGCTGTTGGCTCATGTCAACTTGTATTCCATGGAACAAATTAGAGGGAAGACAATTGTGGGATTTAATTTTGGCGTAGTGTGTATTTAGGCTCCTTGAATAGTATTGCGTAATGCCTCGACACATACAGTACAGCTTGAAATTAAGTGGAATCCACTCCATGGATCCTTGCGTGGCCCTTGCAGGGCTACGCAAGGATCCATGGAGTGGATTCCATTTTATTTCAGGCTGTACTGTACTGTACTTATTATAACAGGTTTGAGTGTGAGAGACTGTAGATAATGAACTGTCTGTGCACAATACTCATAAACTAATTCAAAGACAGATTTGTTGCCATATACCTGGTGCCCAAGGGACTATGTGCACCAGCAACGCAGCCAGGGTGCTCACCATAGGGGGCAAGGGTTTTTTTTTTGGGGGGGGGGGCTGGTTGTTACAGTGGAGGGCAGGGGGCACCCAATGCTGTTAAACCGGTTAACCATGGTCACTTAGGATTAAGGGGGGACTGTGGAGTGGAAGGTGTTTTAAACGTCAACACCCCCAATGAAGGTTTTTTACAAACAATATTGAGAAAGATAGTTTCACCTTCTTTTTTTTTTTAGAGTTGCCTGAAACCGGCCATTGTAGGAGGCACTCAGGAGTCAACTAGAGAAAAAGAAAGGTGGACCTTCTACCCAGTGACCCAGGAACAAGCTAGGACTGGTGAACATGGTAAACAGCATTCTAGTCCATTAAATGTGTAACTTTTAAACGAATTTCCATTCAACGGAAAATTGTAATTGGAACGATTCCGTGCAAAGATGGCAATGGGCGTGGTGTAAAAGAATTACATCACAGCTACAAGCAAGATAGTTGTGTCAAATTATACTCTGGTAATCAAATTAAATTTCTTTTTTTTGTATGTAACCACAGCCGCTAGACCTATCAGAGTTTATGCAGACGGCATCTTTGACATTTTCCATGCTGGCCATGCGAGGGCGCTCATGCAAGCCAAGAACTGTCTACCCAATGTGTATCTCATTGTCGGAGGTAAGCCTACGTCACTACCATAGGTTTACAGAAATAAAAAAAGGAAAACATTATAAAGGGTTCTTAAACTTTAATGAAAATGTAAGAGATTTTGTTTTGTTTTAAGGAAAACAAAAAAATATCTGACGGCGAGAAGAACGATGCCAGTTTTAAGAAAATAGCCAAAAATTGATCATTTCAAAAATGTTTTCAAAACATATTTCACAGTGCCATTGCCTAATATTAGCTGGTTCTCGGTCCTTTTGCCAATCCAGTTATCATGTGTATTTGACGGGAACTTGTCTGCTCAACTGCTACACGACACGGAATCCAAAAACTTGCCGGTCGCGTCAGGGAAAAATTATACCGAATTCAAAGCTGATTTAGCAATGCTTCATGCGCTTTCAAACATCATCAATGTGAACGCAGAAATATGGAAGCGGTATTTTTTTACGAGCTTTTCAAGGCTAAAAGTTGTTTTCCAACAAGTTTTTAGGGGACAAAATCACACCATTGTTAAAAGAAAATGGTAAATCCACAGGTCTGAATAAATGTGAATCAATTGTTTATTCTGTACTTGCTGTGCTGTTTATAGGCTTTGCTACACAATGCAGTAAGACCGCACTGCTGACCAACTTGACAAAAAATGAAATAAAACTTTCCCTCAAAAAAATGCAGGATGATGTCCCCAAAAACTACTTTGGGGTGCACCATAATTTTTGAGATTTAGGTTCCACTTGGTTTTCTTGGTTGGGTGGGTGGGGTAGCCAGAAACATTTTGTTTTCTTGGCCTTATTACCATCATATGAGATGTAGCACCTTTAGAAAAAAATTCTCTTGAGCATTTCAAACTGTTTTGTCCAGTTTGCAGTGATGAGCTGACAAGGAGACTTAAAGGCAATACAGTCTTGACGGAATGGGAGCGCTATGAAGCCGTCCGCCATTGCCGCTATGTGGATGAGGTTATATTTGATGCACCATGGGTCCTCACCCCAGATTACCTTGAGGAACACAAGGTCAGAGGTCAATTCAATGTCCTTAGGTTTAGCACAAAGTGGACATTTTTGTTTGTGACTTGGGAACTAGAAATTTGTAGACCGATATTTATTAAACCTAGTTTAAGTTTTAAATGCTGGAGTTTACCAGACCTTATTCTGATTTTCGAAAGAGTTTTGTGGCATCTTCTATGTAGATGTCGTAAAAGAAGTCTCACAAAGATTTGAGTAGATAATTTGAATCTCTAAGGAAAAAAATAAGCAAAATGTCGTACAAATTTGACTGATCAGTTAATCATGAAAGCATTTGTGATGTATAGGGCAGCACTTTATGCAGTTCATGCACAAGTATGGCCTTCAGTGCTTCAGTGCTGAATGAGTGAACATTACTGGTAGGTAGTAGGTGCATCTCTGTGCCATTTTCTACTCTGCCTATGCTGGCACATATTCCTTGCATGTCAGTATTGTCTATTGAAACAAGCACAGTAAGGCAGAATGTTCAAATAGCATTGTTCAGTAGTAAATATTATTTCTATGAGTGCCCTGGTCATGCAGTATGCATTTGTTTGAATAATGTATACAAACACATTTGGCTTTATGTGTGCATTACATTTAAAGGTAGAGAAGACCATATGTCATTGGTGCAGTGTTATCGTTTGCAGCAACAAAAGTGCTTAAAATCCAAAGACGGGTGTTAAACAACTAACCTGATGAAGCATTAGCTCTGTAAATGCTGTATATTTTGAGAAAATGCAATACAGGGTAGCTCCAAAACAGTTGTGCAAGCAGATATTGTTAAATTTCTCAAAAGTCATTTTGATGGAGCATATTAATTATACTCTTGTGTATAATCAGTGAAAATGTCATGGAAACCAATTACTGCAAACCAGAGGTGTAACAGATTATAAAAGCATATGTGTGTTTCAACCATTCCAATGGGAATTACGCATTGCATTGGAAATCGCACTCTGCAATGGTTGCTACATGATGCAACACACTGAACCGACGATTCTCGCTGATAGTAGCAACCGCATGCGCGTGTGCGTGCTGTCAACGCGCTTGCACCCATTCAAGGATTTGCCCAATTACAAGCCAACTGCCAACGTAAATTTCCAAAAATTGGTCACTTGACGCATTTTTGGGAATGGCCTTCTTTTATTCTATTCTTCAAAATGACAGCATGCCAGAAGGAATCATTTCACTGAAAATTTAGTGTCATTACTATTTTTAAACCAAATAAGCTTTTATCAAAAATAATTAGGTCAGTTACTTTTTGGATAGATGCAAATGGTCTACTCTATCTTTAATCACACAGTCACTTTGCCATAGCAAAAACATTGAACAGCGTGATGGTGTAGTCATTATCTCTGGGCAAATAATTAACTATTGGCCTTTGAAGGTCTGGTCTTTGCCTAAGCGCATAGTTCCTATACAGAGCAGACATCCCTCTTATCTGAACCAGACTAAAGTGTGTATGTATGTGGCTCCATATGCAGCTTGTTGCACTGAGCAGAATAAAGGTCAAGTTGCAACCAGTTTACTGCCATTTTACCTCTGTCCATTTTTCTTCCTCTATAGATTGACTTTGTAGCACACGATGACATTCCATACAACACCCCTGGTGTGCAGATGAATGATGTCTATAAGGACATCAAGGCAGCCGGCAAGTTTATTGCCACAAATCGTACGGAGGGTATCTCAACCTCAGACATCATCGCGAGACTGGTGCGTGACTATGACATGTATGTCAGGAGGAATCTATCAAGAGGATACACAGCCAAAGAGATGAATGTTAGCTTCATTAAGGTCAGTAAGGTTGGAATGATTACATGAGATATGCGGCTTAGTGAATAGTGCTTCGTTTGGGAGGTGTTTGAGCTGGAAGGAACTGTGGATCAGGGGGGTTTTGGACCATGACACATGACGTTATGGTAGAACACAAAGACAGCATGGTTTGAGGGGAAGTAGTGGGAATTACTGGTCCCGAGGTGTAGGTCAGCTTGACTTTTCGCGTCGGGAGGTAGTCAAGCTGACCTTCACCGAGGGACCAGTAATTCCAACTATTTTCCAGAAATAAACCATGCTGTATTTGTTTTACTACACCTCATAAATATTTAGTAGCCTCACTGTCTTTTTAGTAGCCTCACTGCCTTGTTGATTACGGCCTTCATGGATTTTGCATCTTTATTCAGCTCAACATATTCAAGATCTTCGTCAGTCAATGACAGAAATCTAGTAATGATATTCGTACTCGTAGCCGCCGTTGTTGTTTCTGAGCTGCAGATTCCCGTGTGTTAATGGCAACAGGGTTGAAATAGTCTGGTGCCAACATTATTTAATGTGTCTTTACTGCAGTAGTTACAAGGACTACAACCACAGACTGGTTCCGTAAAGAGTACATGCCACCGACTACATGTTTTTTTTGCTACCAGAAAAAACACCACACGGCAGCGAGCTGAATACTCACCGAGATGACGTCACCTCGGCGCGTATCATTTTTATTTCTTGGATGCTACTCCTTAGTGCCTTCTGTTGAGATATTGAGACGTTGTATTGCTTGATCCAATTTTTTTTCCTTGGACATTTTACACTGGTTTGAGCAAACCCATGATGCTTTACCCTTCAGGATCGATGGTGGGACCACTGTCCCCTTGACACATCGAATTCCAGCATTCCACTATTGCCTCTGATTTCTTTAATTTGCTGATGCAATTTACACATCTTCATCTCCATCCTCGATTTCAGATTGATCATTATCATCTTCACTTGGAAGAGTTGAAATGACATTGCTTGTTGGAGGCCAGGACATCTGCATTTCCAATCATCAAGTGATGTTCATGCACTTAACGCAGTGGTTATTGTATATTCTGCAGTAGCAGACTCCATCAGCCATGTCAGAGTCCAAGCACTCTTGTACGATGTGAATCTTTCCAAAAGCACTCTTTCTGATGTTACCTTCGACGAATATAATAATGACAAAAGACACGGGTTTGGAAGTTTGTTGAACAATCACGATATTTTAAGGTGAAATCGCGAGCTCAATATCTTGTAGGTGGTGCGTAAATACTTTTGCATGCCAGTATACATGCAGACAATTACAAGTTGACTAAACAAGCGGTTTGTTTTAGTTCAATGGATGACCAGTCTTTCACGGAGATGGTCGAATTTAAATAATCCGCGGGTATACACACATTATCTTGCTGACACCACCCTGGTTACCCCCCTGATCAGATAATTAAGACAGACAGGCAACTGAGCTTGTTTACGGGGGTTTAGCCAATAAAATTGATTACATAGGTTAAATTCTGTATCTTTCATTTTTGATATAAAGGAGATTATTTTGTTCTTATCTTTTGTCTTATGTTTGATCAACTCAAGGAAACCAGCTTGAGTCTTCAAGACCGGGTTGATAAGGTGAAAAAGAAGGTCAACAGGGTGGAAACAAAATCCAAGGAGTTCGTCCAAAAAGTAGAAGACAAAGGTCGGGAGCTAATACAGCGCTGGGAGGAGAAGTCACGAGAAATGATTGGCAACTTCCTTGACTTGTTTGGAACAGAGGGCACGTTGGTGAGTCATATTGTCTTGATGGTCACTCTCAGTAGTGTGGACAGTAGATGGTCTTGTGTGGTCTGCATCACAAATCATACTCAGTGCATGGAAGCGTGGACTCAACTCATAAAGGTCCAAATATTAATGATGGAAACACTATGACTTATATATACAGCTGTATATGTGTCTAAAATTTTGTATTGAGAGTTCAGAGTTAACCCTACCCCCTACTAACGTGATTTACTAGGAACCGTCCTCACTCCTGCAAATTCCAACACCATGTGGTAAACTGTACACATAAACTGTTGGACTCTGCTTATTGGTGGTATGCCTAATCCCATGTAAAGCACAGTCAGTTTACTAGTGCAGTACTCACTCCAACAGATTCCAACAAACCCTGGTGTTGGAGTTTGACTGGATGGGGACTGTTAGGCCACTATAGGTAACATGCAAGCCAATTGCTTTCAAAATGGTAAATCACATGAAAAAAAGAGTACTTATTGAAAAGGAATGACTGAATTGCAGAGTGGGTAGATCTTGTCAAAGTGTGTAGGTTATGTGACAAAACAAGTTTGATATTAAGGAAATTGTAATGTGGCCACATACAATGCATGATTGACATAAACAAATGACCTCTTGATGTCATTTGCCCTTCAGAAAAAGATGTTTGTAGATGGAACCGATCGTCTCAGGAATGCCATCTCACCCCCAGCAAGTCCTACATGTAGCTCCTCACCCACACCACCAGACGAGGATGATAGCGAATCAGAAGATGTCCAAGATGAGTAGGCATTAGAACAAGCCCTCTGATTGGTTATTAATTGACGATGTTAGGCTGGGATTGGTTCTTGCCAACACATAAAATGTTGAAAATAATGCAAATGACATTTTCATTGGTAGCTTTCTATGTAATTAATATATAATTGCAAATAAGGTTTTTTTTCCTTTCTTCATATGCACGATCATTTTTGCTTTGTTGGAAAGTGCAACTCATTAAAAGCTTGTTTTGTTTAGGATATTTAAGCACAAAAGCCTCGCACATCAAAGTGTTGTGGCACATAAATTGAGTACGGCCTATATTTTGAAATGGCAGTGTCATCTATAAAATTAAACAAAAACTATTTGTTTCAAATAAGAGTTGGGGGATGTTATTTAAGATACGATGAATTTATGTTAGTATTCTCACACACAAAGCATTTGATTCGGTGCTTAAACAGACATTGTTAAAGGTAGAGTATATCATTTGTCATTTGTGCAATTTTTTTGTTTGAAGCAACAAAAGTGCTAAAAATCTAAAAAGGGTGCTTCACAACTAGCTTGATGAAGTTTTAGCTCAGTGAATGCTGTATTTTCCGAGAAAACAATATTCTAGGATCTTGATTTCAATTCAAACATTGCCGAATCATGTTTTGAATTGCACCCGAAATTAGCATCCAGGACAGGGATGAGATGTCCAGCTAATGAGAATTAGTTCATTGTGAAACTGAGGGGAACAAAAACTGGAGAAAGGAATTTGATGGATTCCATTTGAATAAAACATGTTTTGGAACATACAAAATGTTGGTTATAATTTTTAACTCCAAAAAACTTTAGTAAACATCTGAAGAGCCCTTTAACGTCCTTATCTTAAATGCAGGATTATTTACATATCAAAATTCTTCAAATATTAAAAACACTTTTTGAAGTGAATTTAAAACAACATTGATAATGTTAAAAACATGTTGCCAAGAAACATCCATTATATTTCAAAAAATTAGTCGGTATATTACTGAAAAAAGGTACATCATTTAATGATGACCGAAGTACATAGTATTTAAGTTGTTTAATTTTTATGATTATAAATTACTAAATCTGCCAAAGTAACGTAGCACAGACAGTGAGTAGAGCTTGCCGATATATAAAAACAAAATGGGCTAGGCCACGTACTGCAGTTGTCCATGTTAATATTTGTCTAGGTTTATAACAATTCAGACATGTATTTGGTGTGTGTTGAGCTAATTTTAAGTCCAAGTTTCAGATTCAGTTTAGTCAAATGGTCTTTTCTCAACCTGTAATGTTGAAGACGATGAACTGATTTTTCAATGCATGAGAATGGTGTGCTATCTAAATTAATGGAAATGTCACTTCATTTTCATCTGATTGAAATCTGATTTCAATCCACAATGTTTATCCACACACTGGGTTTTCATGAGACAATACTAACCATTCATATGTCCATCAACGGTAATAATTTTTGCTTGATTTCACTTGGATGTTTGAAAGAATTTTTTGCTCATATCACTGTTATGTTAATTGTATAGTGTGTCTATAACAATCTTACAAAGGGATTTTGTTGTTAAAGTAGGTTCACACTTCACATCAAAATGAAAACGAATTTCATGACGTCAATAATTACAATTTTATTGTAACTTTCTCTGTAATAACGAATTCGCTTCGCATCACCATTCACATGAAGTATTCATGAACAGGCCTTTACAATGATGTTTTTCCTTTTCATTAACCCTCCTATGCAAGCTCAATCAAGTGACCGTTTTCAACAGTTAAGAGCTCCCAGCCTACATCAAGCAGGATTGACTGGCTGTGACTCTTTATGTAACTTGACAAACCCTGTGCTTTGACTGTAGGTGATTGATACGACTGTAGGTGATTGATAAGTCAGAGTACTTGCTTGAAATATGATCTGACTGTTTGTGACTAACCTGTGTTAAAGGCATGGCAGGGGAAGTGGATGGACTTCTAACTGTCTGTGACTGTTTAAACAGTAGGAGGGTTAATGTATGCTCAGTGTGTAGTGGGCACCATTACAAATTTGTTCCCCAGAAGGATGTGAACCCACAACCTCCTTACTGATACCAAGATATTGTGTGCTATTTTGAGTTTCATCTCCCCCCCCCCCCCCCCCCCGCCCCCCAAAAAATCCTTTTCTAAATGACTATTTTTCTAGAAATACAAGTCATTCACTCGTACGATAGGTTGGTTCCCTCCCCACAATTAGTAGCAATAATGCACAGACTTGGGGTCTACTTGCCAAGTGGATCTGATTGTGCCCAAAACAAACTTTTTTTCCAGATGGTTGCAGAATTTCCAAAAAGGAAGAAATCAGTTTTGTGTTGGTGGGGTTTTTTTGGGGGGGGGGGATTTAAATAAAACATAAATTGAACATTTATTAGTAGAAAAAATTGTTGAAGAGCGCAGGGAATGCACCGTTATTTGTAAGGTTGAAATAAGGCTGAGATGTCATTAATGCAAACGTAGAACTGTGGCCCTGTGAAATTGTGTGGCTAAGTGAACTTCTAAGACATTTCCTTAAATATTCTCTCAGAATGAAGTGTTGAACATGGTAGACATATCGTAGAATCTATGCTATAAACTAAAGTAGTAGCAGTAACAAATTTCCGCAAAATTATATAAGGGTCTTCCAATATTGAACGTCTGTTCTGCTATGTGTCTTGTATTTTGATATTTATTGACTGGATGAAACATTTATTTTGACAAAGTGAGGGAACATACCTTTGTATGGTTTAAAAAAAATGAAATAGTGTGGTGAATTTGTATAATTTTTTCAAGCAAACATAATGATTCATAGAGGGGAAAAAGTGAAAATTTAGTGAAAATGAAAGGTAGTACTGTCCCCTTTCATTGACATTTCTAGAGAACGGATTCTTTTATATTTGATCGTGTTACAATTGGAGTGATTTTGTTCCTTTAGTTTTATTAGTTTTTGGGGTGGGAAATGTTTCAAGGTGCTTCTCTGTTAAAATGTATATGATGGTAAAATGCTTTGGTCAGCAATTAAAGATGAATATAAAGAAAACTGAGTTTCATTGCTTGTATTTTGCCCTTTTTCCTTGACATACTTCAGTTATTTTTCCGCTTGATCTACTTAAACTTTTCAACTTTTCCACTTAAAAAAAAACCCAAAAGACGAACTGGCATTCTGTTCAGAAGTTTAATTTCATGGCTATTTCTCAAATCAAAACTATTCGGTCCAAAAGTCAAAAATAAAAAAAAAATCCAACAATTTTGTTCAACAATTTTACTTTTTTCGAAACGCCCCTCTAGCTATAAAATGGAGTGTCCAACTCGCGAGTAAGATGTAAATAACTCCTTTTATGGAGATTGGCGCACGTGCTGCGCGATGCAGCGCAGATGCAGCTGTGGCAAGTGCGTTGTGAATTTACTGATTCACTGGTAGTATTGCGCATGCCTACGCGAGTTCAACAAATAAAATTATAAACGGCACTTGATTTTATGGGGGTCCAACTTTCATGTGACTCTGGAAAAGTGTTTAAGACCAGCCAGCCATGTCTTTATCTTCCGTTTATACCGGTCACGTGACGGGCTCTCAACCAATGGGAATGGGTAAACTGTCGTAGGTATTTATGATAGGATTTTAAAACTAATGAGCTCTTGGAAACTTCCCTTTACGTAAATAGGTAATAGGTCCTTCCAAAAATAGGTAAGAATTGTCAATACATATAGTTTTCATGTGTTGCCTAGAAACAGTTGAAAACACGTCCAGAGGATGCTATTGGCAGTTTCAAACTACGTGCTCCTAAGGCCGTCTCTGATGAGGTGATCAAAGGCTGACTGAACATTGTGCATTCCAGCTAGTGCAGAATGGATGGCATAGGCTATATCTCCCCCCCCCATCCCCACTGTCAATCCCCACTCCTTTGAGAAATAAAAGGACAAGAAAACATGAAGATGTACACATTAGACACGTTTACTATCTCTCTTGTTTTCCATTCATTGGCAAAGTTTTCATTGTTCGATCATTTTAGAAACAATTAAAGCACCTAACACATGTAACATCTACAATAATTCATATTGAAATTAACTAGCTCCAAAACTTCCTTAAATAAATAAATTAATAAATTATACAAAACTCTTAATGCACCAAATGAAGTATTGCATGCATGGATGCACATATATTCTACAACTCATCCAATAATGCACAAAATACAAATACTGTTTCAAACAGAGTACTGCTGCATTTCAATAGACTATAAATTAACTCTACACATCATCAATCAAATATAATGATATAATAAATATGCAGATACAACTTCTGATACTGTTGACAATAATTGAACAAGAGAGGTTTTGATCCAGCTCTTAACCTTTGGGGACGTCATTTTTAAATCCGACATTAAAACTAACAAACTTCATCTTTTACTTTGTGTTGACTTGTGACGTGCCACTCGAGTGCTGCAATGCTAAAAATAGGCTACCTTGGACTATCTAACAAAATGCTTCCAGAGCACACATTACATAAGCAGATGAAATGGTGACATGTATCTTCCAACATTCATAAAAGCCACAGACTCTCTGTTCTGATATCACTAAGGTCAATTAAAAAAAAATTAAACTTTATGATAGATTTGTTTCACATTCCATCACATGCTTCTTGCAGCGGTCATCAACTAAAATTTGGATGAATAAACTTTTGTCAATTGAACAATTTTTTTCCACATTTATTTCAATTAACGAAACTGTTGGAAGCCATATGTTCTGCTGAACAATTTTTAAAAAATATTACAGGACTTTACAATCTGAGGGTTGATAAAAAAACACCCAAAAATTCCATTTCAAATGTGCAATTCGTTAGTTGCAATATATTCCTTTTCCGAACCCCTTTTCCGAACCTCTAAAATAATGTCAAGGTGATATTAACTACATGAACATTGGGATTAACTTTTTAAAAACTACAGCCACGATTTGATAATAAAGGTTTCTTTCAACAGAGTGATTCTCTGATTCTGCAATGCCCAAATCTACTAAGCCAAAAACGTCCAAATGGTTAACACATGTTGACTGCTACCAAGGCAAATATAACCTAGAAGGCGTTCCTTATGCTCAAAAGCTGCCATACATAGTTATATAAAAACTCTATAGTTCACTGGAGACCAGCTCCACAGACACATAACACACATGCAATAACATACATGTACATGTACATACAGATTTTCTAACTCACTGTTAAGCTCTAAATGCTATAACCATTCCTTAAAAGCCATCTAGCTGCTGGTATATAACAAATAATGCAATGTGTCTTTAATAACGCAAATAATTTGATTTTGTTTCCTCATTCTTTTGTCTGAAAGAAAATTCAGAGATGAATTCTTCTGGAGAATATAGTTAATTATGAGTCTGATATGTAAGGAACTAATGTAATTTGCCTCTAACAAGTGAAATTAACTGGTTTACTGTATCAACATTTTAACTAGTCTATTTACCGGATTCTAGCCAGCCAGGTATAAAAGATGACAGGGAGACATTTTCTTGTTTACACTGCATGCTTAAGAAGTGGAGAAAAAATGTTGTTCAAGACACGTCACATGAGCCAACATGAAATATTTTGTTAGTTTTCCCAATAATCTTCAGTTGTGCCAGCGAAAAGCTGAACTAAATGAAGAGTGAATAGCTGAACTAAAAATGTAACTACTTAATAAAAACTGTTTTGTGTCAAACAACAAAACCAGATGAAAATTCACTGTGTATTTTCTATGCCCCAAGAGCAATGTCAAAAAAAGGGTCAAACAGCTAAAAAAAAAAAAAAGTATAGAAGTTTTCCGAAAGTCCTACTGAATGGCTCAGACATATCTGTTTCTAATAACATAATTTTAACCATTAACATGCTCCCAATCCACTGTTTGAGTCAATCCTCCACAAGTCCACCACAAGTCATTTCATTAAAAATCACAAGTCCTTTCACAAGTCCAGTCACAAGTAAACAGGGGGTTAACAATAAGAAGGGAATGCTTTTGTAACAATTCATCTGAATAGCTTGTGACTTGAATTGAGACTGGAGGACTTGTATGATTTGTGATGACATGTGAGAACTTTTGGTAACTTGTGAGAACTTGTGAGAACTTGTGAGAACTTGTGAGGACTTGTGAGGACTTGTGAGAACTTGTGAGGACTTGTGTGAACTTGTGAGGACTTGTGAGGACATGAGAACTTGTGAGAACTGGTGAGAACTGGTGGAACTGGTGAGAACTAGTGAGGACTTGTGAGAACTTGTGAGAACTTGTGAGGACTTGTGAGAACTTGTGAGGACTTGTGAGGACTTGTGAGAACTTGAGAACTTGTGAGAACTTGTAAGAAGTTGTGAAAACTTGTGAGGATTTGTGATGACTTGCGAGGACTTGTGAGGACTTGTGAAGACTTGTAAGGATTTGTGAGGACATGAGGCTTGTAACAACTTACGATGGACTAAAGTACATCAGTGTCCCAATCCTAAGCCACTATGCCAACATACTTTTTATCAATAATTCTAATAGAATACTTATCATAGGTGCAGGTGGCTAGCTTAAGTTTAAACGCTGCATGCAAACCAGTGTAACATCTATACAGCCACAATGTGCAATAAAGCCAGTGGCAAACGCACAAACAGTTAACCATTTACATCTCACAGGTATTCAAAATACTATCTAATATTCTGCAGTTTGCCAAACATTTCACCCAATAAATACATTATATACTCTCTTACAAATCTCTCATCAATAAATTGTTTCCCCACTATTTACACTACAGTGACTTTCCGTCAAATGTTAATCTATTTTATACAATTCAGCAAAGCACCATAATACATTAGACATCTATGATGTGGTAGATTATCATTATCTGCCCAATTATGTTTGATATAAATATATAGTTTTCCTTCAATAAACAGAGACCACAAGCACCAAGGTTGAAGGGAGTTGGCACAGTGATACTTTCACCACTGTGACCCGATTTCAAATCCCACCCAGCCTGACATGTGCAACTGGCTTTCATGCAGTTCCTACCTGATTCTGTGGTAGGGCTGTGCATCGAAACCCGGTACCCGGTATGTCAGGAACTGCTTCTAGAGTATGGGATTGGGTACCCGTAACCAACTTTACAAATTACTTAGTTACTTCTCAGACAATAAAAAAGAAAGGTGAAGTCATTTGTGGGGAATTTTCACAATAATAAAAAACTAGGCCACATGGGAAAAAAAAACATATTTTCTAATTTATGACGCTCGCGAAAGCTGCAATTTACATCATAAAGCTATAAAGCTCACTGTACACACTTGTATCTTGCTGTATTGATGAGCCGATGCGGTAGTATTTATCATGCAGACCTTTGTAAACAATCTCTACAGCAACTTCCAAAATTTGAATTTTGGCATGTTTGGCGTTGGGTTTCTTTAACGAGTACCCGGGTACCTGTGTTTTTTTCAATCGGGTACCCGGTTCCTGTAGTATCAGTAAATGCACACCGCTATTCTGTGGGTTTCCCAAAAGTATTTATCAGGGCAACCATTATATGGTAAAACGAAAGAGGGAGACCTCGGTCTAGATGGGCAGACGATCTAGTGGAAACAGGACAACCGCCTGAAAGAGATATACCATAGACAAGGAGAAATGGCATGCTATGGGACAGGCCTTTTCCAAGCAGTGGGACGATACCGACTGATGATGATGGGGATTTAAACAATCCAAGCTTTTTAAAATCCATTACCACAACTACAACTGTACTGTTGTTGTTTAACAATAAATATAAGCTAAATAAGTCATCCCTCCTTGATACTTTACACACACAAAAAGATCTTTGATTAAAACAATGGTGCAGATCTGTACTCTGTATGACAATTTGACAAGTGATTGTCTTATAAGTCTTATTCAATAAAGTTATGATTCTGATGTAAATTGCTTAAGAAGTCATGGCAAATCCTTTGCCTCCTCAAGCTAAAGCACTCTATGATTCATACAACTATTTTTCTGCATTTCGGCTCTCACATGTTAAGATATGAAGAAAAATCATTGCAGCTGATTGATTTTTTTGGGCGGAGGTTTTGTAGTACTTAAGCCAGTATTTCTATTTCTAAAAAAATGTTTAACATTGTAAGAGCTGAAATGATTTAAGAGCAGAAATGATGTAAATTTTTGGATATTGGATACATGCAGCTCATAAAATTCCAAATTTCATTTAATATATTTTTAAATGCTGGAGGTTTCATCACACATGAGCAACTCTTGTATTACACATTTGCTTAGAGTGGAGTTTAATTCTGATTTGTTCAATAAAGCGACAACTATTTGTCAACATACCTACATTGTGAAGCTGCCTGATATATTCTAAGATGCTGATATTCTACTGGCTCAAGTACATATTATTAGGTTATAATTCTATGGATAATTTTTTTTTAAATCGTTGGTAACATGGAAAAATTCTCCTTTTTCTGCAACAGACCCTGCAGGTTGTATTATTTTCCTGGAATGACATCCGATTCCAGCCTAAATTGCTCCGATGATTGCAGTCCCCAGACGTCAGGTACAGGTATGAATTTGTACCTATCAACATTTAGTTGTGTTTGGAAGAATTGCTGCCTTTTTTCCTTTGATATTTCACATTCATGGTTGGCCCCAAAAGGAGTTTTCTATTATTTAGAGCTAACTTCCTCACCTTCTAGAAATTCTAGATTGTAACTCTCAACTCTCTCAAATCTTGAACTGAGGATCCCCTTACTGACAGTATTTACCTACACGCAGGTATCATGGACCCCAGTACTACCCCGCCTGTCCACAATGGTAGGATCCACTGTCTTGGCCATGTCTAGTAACCTGACTGTCTCCTGTATCCCCTCCAAATCATCCTCAGTGTCTGTGGGCGCCATGGGGGCTGAGAAGTCATGACGATCCCTTGGGCAGGTGGGTTGCTGGAGGAGAAGGCTCTGCTCATTGGTTCCATCATCGATGTCATCATCAGATTTCTCAATCAAAGGATCAACTGTAAGGACACAGATACGAGGAACATTATACAACTATTACCTGCTTTGAGGAAGCAGTAAATACTGACTATGGACTGCTACTGACCATTGAATATTGACTAATATCTATATCAGATGATCAACAGCAAAGATTCAGATAGAAAAAAAACATTATACAACCATTTACTGCTTTGAGTGGTATAGTAAAACTATCCCCTCCGTGGAGCAATTCTTACAACAGGGCCCAATTTCATAGCTCTGCTAACCACAGAATTCCGTGCTGACGATCACCATTTTTCGATATAAAAGCGCTAGCAGAAAAATTCTGTGCTAACTCTGTAAGCACAGAATCCTTAGATATGGGATTTATACATGCGCAGAAGCCAAAATTCCTCGCAAACCTGTGAAATACGCTCACCGTAAGCACGGAATTTTCTGCTACGGTAAGCAGAGATTTTTCGCTAACGGTAAGCAGAGCCATGAAATTGGGCTTACAACTCGTCTCAAGTTCTAACATGCTTTAGAAAATAGGACGACTTTGCTAAAAACCGGCCCCTGGATCTTAACCCTTTAGACACCTGAACGACCCAAAGTTGCCCTTCCTCTTACTCCTCATACCGCCCCAAACCGCCCAAGCACTGTGAATGCCCATCAAAGAGGAAATACAAAAGTTAATGCATTAATGAGATGGTGCTGTTTAACTTTAGGAAGAAGACTGTTACTGACTGTGTTTGACATTTTCTTGTGCTGCATGAACCTCTGTAGTATGGGGCTCTGGCCGTACATGTCTACGGGAGCTAGTACTACGACTGATCCTCTTGGTGTTGTGTCGACGTTGGAACGGACGGAGGGGTGAACCCATCTCTTCTTCTTCCTCTCTCTCATCATCTGCCTCAGCGATACAGGTATCGGTGTGTCGGATACTCCTACGCCCATACCTGGTGGAGGAAGGCAGGGACAGATAGGGTGTGTCAATATACAAACTACTAGACTTCAGGACAAGTCACTAGATAGTTGTGTTTTGTCTGTTGGCGCACCCAATATATACTAGCACAGCACTGTGTAGCATATGTTTCTTATCATATGCTCGGTTCAGCAAATCTAGTGGACTGGCATTCATAAATGAGCCGAAAACAATGCATGTTCATTACATTTCCATAGGAATCTCCAATGATAGCTCACATGTACCACACATATTAAAGTTTTAACTTAACTTTCATTGTGTTTACACAGGTTTTAACAGAAAAAACAATGGCGATTTCTTATTACTACTCAATTCCTGAAAGATTTCATCACATACATACATACATGCAAAATAAACAACAATAACATGTACTGTTATGCTAAGTCCCTGCAGTTACATGATTTTCATACAAAAAAAATCATTGTGAACTGTGAACAATTTCTATGTATCATGAGGCCATGTTACGCAACTCACAAAATACTTTCAATAATGAGACTGAAAAAAATGGAATCAGACATAATTTTGAAAACAGAAAAATTTTAGACCAGTGTTTTTCCCCGATTATCTGAACTAGAAGCTTTCCCATTGACTTACCCACTATTAGATCTTGACAAGCTTCGTTGCTGGTCTGAGTTATTGGCATTGTGGTCGGCGGAGTCTGAGCTACGAACAGAGCCACGACGACGGGCGCTGTTGCGACGACTAGAACTCTGTCGACTGGAACTACGCCGAGATGTGATGGTGGCTAGATGTGAGATGAGAAGGTTGGAAAACTGCTAAAGTAGACTGCTAAAGTAGACACAGCATGCTCTTGTAGATGAAATGATTCTTGTGCAAACTCATTTATTTCTTGTCTTTGCTTCCTGTTTTGTTCTATTCTAAGTCTCTCAATTTGATATAGCCATCATGACCAATGATGAGAATCCATGTTTAATTTGTAAACGTTAGCAAAATGTTGCTGCACTGTTTAAACATTTAGCCAACACTTTAAAAAAGGCTACCGCCTGCCCCAGCACGTGTGCATCACACATAGAAGAGGCATGGAAATTGATTTTGTCCCTGTGGCATAATGAAAACGTCAAGCATAATAAATTGTCTACAATGTATGTGGCTGACTTAAAAGACAGTTGCCAATCATTGAAACATGTATTCATTCAACTTCCCGAGATGTGATAGAATACGAAGGTGTTATTAATAAAATGAAAGCAAATTGCCTCCGTTTGCTCTTTGGATGGCTGTGAGAGTAACCGGATAATTAGCATCGGCTGAAAGCCCAGTGTCCTCACGTGAAGCACACAAATGTTATTGGCTAAAAGTTAACAGCTTGTCACTTGCATGCCAGCCACCTTTTTCACCTTGGCATAATTGAGCCTTATATGGCAGTCACATGGTGTGGCCTATATTCAGCTGAAGCACTCAATACAAGCTTCAGCCAAAAGTTGGGTGACCTACAGATATTCTCATTTCTTGTGGAATAGCTGTGCGCATGATAGGGCTAGTAAGCATGGAGGGTTGCCACAGCTACGTGTCGGAAGGATCAGCATTCGCTGCGTATAAGACATTTTACCATGCAAAGGTAATAGGAATTAATGCTTTGTTAATTGAATAGGTGTGCAGGTATCCTTGTTACAAGGTATCATTTTCAAGGTTTACATTTAAACGTTTGGGAAATTCCTGAATGAATTTTGAATATTCTAGTTTAAACATAAAAATGACTAACTGTGTACTCGTCACATCCTTGAGGCAGGTTCTTACTTGGTCCCAAAAAAGACGCAAATGCATTTTGTTGACGTCAAGCCAAGTCATTGTGCTGCGAATTTGCAATTAAACTCTAGCCAATTTTACAGCAAATGTTTCCTGAAGTCAAATTCGCTTCGTATTTGCATTCCCATCAAGTATGACCCGGCCTGTTACCATGTTATGAGGGTGTTTTGATTACCTTTCCTTGTAAGACGACTGATGATAGATCCACGTTGCTGGAAGGGAGACGTTATCTCCATCTCCTCAAATACCTGAGCTCTCTGACCAGTCATGACAGCTAACTCATCCGTGAACTTGACACGGTCTGCCACAAATCAACATCAAACAAACTAGGGTCAAGATTCAAACAGCAATTAACAGCATTATCTGAGGTGGAATCAGGCACATGCCTAGATGCATTGGCTCAAAACACTTCTCAATTATTACCCCTGTTCATCATGCCATGAGATGTTTTCTGAAGCAGCTCAAGTGAGCACAATCTGGTACCTGCACATTTAGGCTCCAGGATAGTGAGAGGCAATTGCAATACAGTGTCTTGCCCAAGAACACAAATTTCATTTAAAGCAACAAAATTGCTCAAAATCTGAAGGGTGCATAACAACTGCTTGTTGAAGTTTCAGCTCAGTGGATACAATACATGCTGATAATACAGAGAAAATGTATGCACAATGGCGTCTAGTAACCCGATTTCGTTCCTAATGCATGTAAAAAGCTGTGCCCGCGGGCACATATTTTTAAACTTCCTTCAATGATTGTTTTCTTCCAATGATACCATTTCAGGCAGAATAATTTCACAGGGTATTTGGTAATTAACAGTCCTATCTTCACTTTGAGCGAAGATTAAATCGGTAGGTACATTTCCGGGTAAATGCAAATGTTCCTACTTGCCTTTAACTTGCCCGAATCAACACACCCCCCCCCCCAAAAAAAAAGGGACCAAAAAGTAATTCATTTTCAAGAATCGCATGCACCAGGCCAAATACGAACCACGACTTGGCAGACACCACCAATATTGCTTTGCGTTCGGAAAAGATACAGCCAAATGAACAAGGTCAGTTTTCAAGCAACCAACTAAATAAACATTTTCTGACTGTCAACATTAAGGGATCCATTGCTTACCTCTAGGGACAAACATATTGTCTCTGAGATGACGTAACTCATTGACTAGTTCTAGCATTGTCTCTGACTTGCATTTAGTCTGAGGTGAGTGTGTAACGCGTAGTTTCTGCCCAACGTAGCGCTGCAACATGACTTCATGATCTGTCTCGCAAATCATCCTCATCATCTGTAAGTTCAATATAAAAGGAAAAATGTATTACCATTCAGAAAAAGCGAAATTCTCATTTGCCGACCTTCCGGTTTTTATGGCGTAAAATAAAATAGATGGTGCAAAACTGCTTGCTCCATAAATGTTCTCTCCTAGATTCAAAAAGCTATTTTATTACAAACTTTTTGGCATCTGCACAACCTTACACTTTCGGATGAATTTTTTTGACTTGATAGAATTTTAGGTCATGATAAAGTAAGATTTACACCCAAAGCTTTCCAGAAGCATAAATTTCTCCAAAATCAGCAAAAAAAAATAACAAGCCTACTCACATGACCTGCTTACAAGTGCAGCTATTTAGTTACTCAAAGACCAAGCATGCTGAGGTCAGCTGGACAGTTTGAATCTGGAACAGTTACTGCAATAAATGACTTCCTTTTGGGATTTTTCAATAGAAAGATTTTTCTGACAGGATTTCAGAAAGTGCTTTCCAAGCGCTTAAGAGCTGCAACCTAATTAACCATTTTCAATTGCATCTACAGTGTTAATGAAACTACATCATTGAAGGGCAACGCAATATTAAGGTGCATGCTTTTCCACTATTTTGTTGACTATGATGAAATGATTTAATTTGTCTGATCACATATATAGACTGTTTAAAAAAGGCGAGGTTAACCTTACATTTTTTAAGAAAGATATCTGTGAAAAGACATGTTCACTCATCCTCATAGTTTGCACACACATACCATTAGTATTACCTAATTTTGGAATGTGAGACTATTTCTTTCTTTGGCTAAGCAATACGACATTTCACATCTTAGTTTTCTTAGGGACAGAAAATTGCTTACCTTGAATGCAATGAAGGGTTTAAGCATGACATACAGGGGGGTACGGACGGTAATGACAAAGTCCATGAAACTCCACAGAGCCACAGAACCTATGCATAATACAAAGGAAAATACAGAGGCAGAATTAGTTATTAGCTTTGTGACATTGCATATGAAAGATCTTAAAGTCTCCGATTACAATGTGTAGGGTAACCGTTGAAAAGTTTTCAAAAACTTGCTATTGATACAATGCCCACAGGTTTTCAGTAATAGCTCAACAACAAAAAATTACTGGATAATTCAGGCATTTGAACAGAAGGTGCAATAACTTATTTCAGCAAATTATTTTCCAAAGGTGCCATTTCTTCCAAAGTTTTCAATAATTGTTTTCTTTTTTCCATTTAAATTAACCATCCACAACGTGACAAATTGATTCACATCAAAAGTGAACTGAACACTATAAAGTTATAAAGGGCACTGCACAGCTCAGCAAGGAAAGACAATAGTTTCTTGATGCTTTTCTAAAGCTCCCCAAGCATTTCATGCACACCAAGAGCAAGTCTTGTGTCACGTACAAGGGTATTTCTAGTCAAAATGCGCAAAAGATTACAAAATGTAATGCAGGTGTACAAATGCAGTTAGGTCCATTTCCGGCTGTGATGACAAAGTGCTTAACTGAATTGAAATGTATACAAGTGTGCATACACACAACCTGGCTAAAATATAATAATAATAGCAATGTGTATAAAGCGCACGTATCTACTGGTATTAGTACTCAAGGCGCTACATCATTATAATCCTGATCATTGGGCCAATGAAACATTCCAAATACCATCTCAGCTCCCTGGGGAGTATACAGCTGGATGCTGCCATTTCAGCGCAAAGCAGCTAAAATCAACCACAATAACCATCTCTGCCCTCACAGGTACCCATGTACTCCTGGGTGGGGAGAAGCAATGAGTGACAAAGTGCCTTGCCCAAGGACGCATGCACCACAACCCCAGGCTGGACTCGAACCCACAACCTGCAGAATTACCCACAGACCATGAATTAAATTGCTCCAGACCACGAGGCCACGGCTCTCCAAAAATAGGCAAGAAATATACAAAAATTGGCGAAGGAGTCTTAGTCCTTTTAATAGCAAATACTTTCAGCTTACAGCCGAAAGCTGACTTCCTACCCATAATCTGCATCACAAGTATTCAAGTTTTTCCGTTTTAATTCCCAATTTTGTACCAGGTTTCATTTTAGTATGCTCATCTAAGTCAGGTATGGAAGTGACAACCAGACATCTACAAACACACAGCCCTTACCAAGCATTCCTGAGCCCAGCTCCTTGACAGCTGAGGCGATACGGAACCATTCACGTGATAGTTGATTCTCAAAACACACCATCATCATCTTCAGCCCTGAATGCATATCACAGAATAACCTCATTCAAAAGTTTTCCAGTATACATAAGCTGCAACTTATACTCCTTTATAGTTTGTAGTAGGTTGTAACATTTGTTGCTTGATCAGTTTGTTTTATCCCAAAATACATCAAAGTACATGTTATGCCAAAAGTATGTTCTACACAGACATTTGAAATGGACATGTTAAAAAGAGCATTTCACTTTTTTAAAGTTCTATTCTTCAATAACAGCAATATGTTGCACATTTTTAATGCCCAGAGATTTAGTTTTAGGCCAAAAAAAAAAATATTCGGTCTCTGGTCAGACCAAAGTTCCGGCATTGATGCCGCGAAGCGGTTTTTTGGGGGGGTTTTTGGCCTTTTTTTTTTTCAAGCTTGGATTGTACAGACAAGGTGGGTACTATTTTGCTTTTGTTGTGTCCTCATATACATTGGGGTCCTCCATAATTTGCCTTGGTGCCCTCCATCATTTGCCTTTGCAATTTCCCCATTCCTTGGTACAAAAATTTGAGGAGGTGCGGCAATAGAGGGTGCTACCGCGGACAATTTGAAGAAAAAAAAAGGTTGACGCGCATGATTAAAATCGACGCGCGCGCTGACCAGAGACCGACTAATTTGGCCTTACACAGACTATGGACAATCTGTTTGTGCATAAATTGCCTTTGCAATTTCCCCATTCCTTGGTACAAAAATTTGAGGAGGTGCGGCAATAGAGGGTGCTACCGCGGACAATTTGAAGAAAAAAAAAGGTTGACGCGCATGATTAAAATCGACGCGCGCGCTGACCAGAGACCGACTAATTTGGCCTTACACAGACTATGGACAATCTGTTTGTGCATATTAGGATAAAAATTTATCATACATACTTTGTGCAATGTGTGCGTAAATCACGTCCAACAGGGCGAGTCAAAAAGAAAGTGACTGAATTAGAATTTCTTCATTTTTTTTTTTTAAATATGTGGCTCGCTCTATTTCATAAAAAAATAACATGGGGAAAAAGTACATGTTATTTACTAGCAACTGCGAAAATTTCACGTAACTTGCTTACTCTATTCCCAACTTACATGTCTACTTGAATAAAAAGATAACAAAATTCAGCTGTCCACCACTGATCATTTACCGTCCTACGAACTGACGAATACCCATGTAATATAATGAAACATGGACATTTTCCCACCTCCATGAATGAACGAAAACTTGCAAAGAAAAAGACAAAACTCCCAAACAATATCAGGGGAAAAAAGGGTTGAATTGTTCCTCACATTCAAAACAAACAATCTGACAGTAAAAATAATGTTTCAGTCTTGACTCAACTGATTAAAATCTCATTTGCAAATTTCCATAAGGTTTTAATAGGGTAACTGTGCCAGTAAGCAACTTGGTGAATTTGAAGCTCATCAATACTGAGGTTTGGCAAGACTACTTGGTGATATCTGGAGACAAGGTAAATGCGCGTAGTTTTTGGGTATAATAGTAGCCATTTTGGATCGTTACTATGTCCTCATAATTATTCGGTCACTTATATGCTTGAGAAAATGTTATTTAAGTAAGGGTGAGTAAGTAGAATCACCAAAACAAACTTTTCAAAAAATTTAAAAATAAAGCATATACCCAAATATGGGATTAAATATATTTCGCAGCAGGAATTAACTATTTATGCAAATTAGGTATATTTGAGTCAATATTAAGGGTGGCATCCACCTACATTTTCTTCTCCATCCTTTGACTGATTGATCTGACATGGTTGCCTGCTATTACCACAAAGCGGAATATTCCACTTTGGCTGGTCCACTACTACATGTATGTCCCACACACTACAGCAAATGTGAGTGGCCATACAGTGTTATCTACTGTGCTTTCTTAGTGTCCATAACTCACCTAGGAATCCTGCCTCATACAGCGAGTCTGGGATGACCGAGTTAGAATCTCGGTAGGAGATACTGGTATGACTGGGTAGATCAGTCAGGGAGGAGTAATGATGCTGCTGTTTGGGGGGCATTGCCCCGCTCCTCCCTGCCTCCATACTAGGCTGACGCTTGGGTGGCAGTAAGGCGTACAGTATCATGGTCAGGGCAAATGATATGTCCGAGGGCCGAATCTTTGGTGAATCTAATGGGAAATAAAGTCAATAGATTACACCTGCAAGAAGCTAAAATCACAATTATTTTTTTTGCTTCTGAAAAAGTCCTTGCTAAGGATGAAATATCAGGCCACTCTAATTTTTTTATTTGAAAATTTCAGGTCAATCCAGTCAGTGAGCAGTTTGCAGCAGTTTAATTCATTTTCATGATCTCACAACTACTTGTTTCAATTGCCCTTAAACAAATCCTAGATACATTGTATTCCCAAATCAACCTGTAAGAATTTCTTTAACCTCCTGTTATTTAAACAGTCACAGACAGTCAAAATTCACTTCCCCTTTACCTGCTATACTTTGAACAAAGGCTAGTCACCAGCAGTCAGATCATATGTCAAGCAAGCACTGTGACTAGTCAAACTGGGTCAACAGACAAAGCAGGCAAGTTGTGATCACAGCTATTTTATCGCTCACCCGGAGTCAAAGCATAGCTGTATCAAGTTACTTAAACAGTCCCAGCCAGTCAATCCTGCTTTATGTAGGCTGTGAATTCTGAACTGTTGAAAGCAGTCACTTATTTGATTTTGAATGATAGGACTACTTGGCACAGAATGTATGTTTGCATAGGAGGGTTAAAGTTGATAATTTTACATACAGGTTTGGAAGTTATCTTTTCGCACAATTAAACATACGAAAATTGCACCCAATACCATTTCTAATGGGTCGTTAAACTCAAGGGTTATGACAAGAGATATTCAAACATGCCAGAATTTCATTTCCTCTGAAATTTGAGATAAAACTTTTGCTTATGCACAAGAGAAAAACGTAAGTGTGCCACGTTAGGAGACCTGTCACGTTATGGGCCACACCGCCAAAGTGGACATAATTCAGACCTGCTCCCACCAAACCAAGCGTTAGCAAATTTTTTTAGGTTCTGGCTTTGTATTAAATTGATAAGAACCTCAGGAATTTGAAAAATGCCAAAACCCAAAAACCAAAATTGTCCTTTTGAAAAAATGTCAGTTGTACCTTTCCTTCCACAGCCCACTCTCAGACACAGCGGAATGACCAGATACAGCAATATGGTCTCAGTCCTCTCCGCAGAGTTGAAGACAGGCGTCCCTCCAAACACTTGCTCCAAGGTGTACAGATCCTAACAAGAAATCAAGCAGCTGGCTTCTTAGATACAGCAAAGAAAACTGACATCAATTATTTTCAAAAGGGTGTTCCACCGACCAGTAATTCTCCTTGGGTTGTGTATTTATTTCAAAATTGTGCAAAAAAAAGTAAACTAAAAACTTGAATCATTTCTTTTTACCGTTTGAACTGGTGAGAAACTGGCACGAAACTGGCACAGAGAGGCACAATTTACACAAAAATCCTAACCAATGACTTTGTGATTGACATCCACATCAAAAGAACCTTCAGCTCATCTTATCACTAAAACCACACATGGTTGGTACAAATGTATGGATTCCCAAACTTGAGATTATTCAAAAAGCGCATTAGACACAGGATACAGTGTGAGAGGTCAAAGTGGTGGGAACACATGGGTGAAGACACTGCAAAGATGGTGAAGAACTGGTCAGAATATATCTTGCGTCAGACATTTTGCTGGCAGAAATTCATACTCTCTGAACTCTGAACTCTAGCTGACCTTAATTAAGAACCATTAGATATGATGTGGATATGGGAAACCTATGGGGCATGGCAAAACTAGCTGGTTATATCACCTTTGTGTGGTTATGTAACCAAACCAACAATACAGGGTGAGTAAAAAAAAAAACGAAACCCAAATGTCGAGACCATTGTTTTAGTGAAGTTCTGCATGTAGCACTTTCAAAATCTAGGATATGAAAGCCCATTTCATAAGCTTTCGTTCAGTACAAGAATCATTCAAATCACTCATGTACTTTTCAAGTTACGGAGTTTTAAACTCAACCGCCGTTTTAAGGTTCTGTCCACAGTTCACAAAAAGTTCAGTGTTCTTTCAGCAAAATGAAAACAAATCACATAAGGATGTGTGTGAATTGTTTTCGTTTTGCTGAAAGGGCGCACACCTTTTTTTGTGATCCAGAACTTTAAAACGGCGGTTGTGTTTAAAACTCTGTAAATTGAAAAGAATATGAGTGATTTGAATGATTCCTGTACTAAAAAAAAGCTTATGAATTGGGCTTTCATGTCCTAGATTTTGAAAGTGCTACATGCAGAACTTCACTAAAACAATGGTACCATTTTTTATTGTCCTATTGCTTATATGTCTGATCTTAATAAGCAGTGACCGTGGCTTTTACTTTTGGAAAGAATTCGGAAAATTCTGCTTTCATTTTTGAGGGTTTTTCCACCCAAAATCTAGTATTATTTCACACCAGTACCTAATAAGAAAAGAATTCCAATAATTGTTTCATGTACATCATTTTACATGATTTCTCCATGAAAAAGAGTTCATTTCGGGATAATTACAGCACAATAAAACTCTTGGATCAGCATGAGGTTTTCACATTGATGTCAAAATGATTTAGCACACACTTAATTGAAAATAAACATCTTCAAACCATTTTTTCAAAGCATACACAGTACACAATAGGCCTCAATCTGTAATAATCCTAAGAGTCTAATACCAATGCTAAATCTTGTAAGAAAATCAGAAGCAAACAAAATCAATCATAGAACATGCAAGGAGGTGATTTTCAAGAAATTTTCCAAGAATAAAATACAAAGGAAAGTTAGGCAAACGGTGATATCTTGTGAGTAAAAGGCTTCCCAAGAAACTCTTAAACAGAAGAAGCCCAATGTGAGCTGATCCCATAGAATGAGGCATTGAACTTAACAAATCTTTGAATTAATCACAGTTAATGTAAAAAAATGGTGTTATTTGGTATCCCATCATAGGGCTACACGTATCTGACCTGAAAAAAATCTTAGCGTAAGGCTCATTCTATAAGGTCTGGTCACAAATAAGATTTGAAATTTCCATAAATATTGGCATCTGGAAGATCTGAAAAATTAAAAGGACAATACACTATTGATTTTTAAATTGGATTTTAAGCCATGCATAGGAATTGTGGTGAGTTGGTTCAAGTGAAAGGTCAAAAGGTGCTCAATATTTTATACAAATAAAAAAAAATAAAAAAAAATTCAGTTTCAGAGGTATCTGAAGTGTGTCAAGTATTTCATTTTTTCCTGAAAAGCCTACTAAATATACATTTTCTTAGAGTGTGGTACTTCTTTCAACGAGACTACACATGTATTTAATATCCCTTTTAAGTTTTCTTTATATTGCAGGGATTTTAAAGTATTTTGCTCAGTGATAAGGCAGACCACTTGGAGCACAAAGTTGTTGACAACAAGATATGTACCGGTAATACAATTTTTTAAATATCCAAACTTGGCCCAAATTTTTCAAATGGGCCAAAAGTAACACCAGGTAAGTCATGTGATAGCTGCAGTAGGATACCATACCTTATTTGACACAACACAAACATGCACATTGTAATAAAAGAATAACATTTGAATGTAAAGAAGGAGAAAAAACAGTGATAAACCACACTGGTAAGACAGTACCAACATACACACACACACTGGCCAATATAACTAACACCGCGAGGACAAAGGCAATAAAAAAGCTGGGGTAAAAAATGGACTTTTGGGGGTTAATCCAAAGCACATGGGTAGAAGACAAATTTCTGGAATTGGGGAGGATCAACACAAACCAACTTTCACAATAGACACACGAATGCTTAGGTCACCGATAGGTCTAACAAAAAGTGTTCTCTCTCAGTTATTATTTCTCCTGCTAGTTACATGTAAGTATAGACCCTGTGCCCAAGTATTTCCTAAACAGTGACAAAGTGAGGATCAGTTGCCCATCACCCATTTGACGAGGCTACAGATTTGGCAAAGGCAGATGAAATTTGGTCGTGCAATTACTTCAAACCATATGCTTGTAAAGGTGTGTGCGCCTATGTGGGTGGTACATCCAAAATGGGGCTCTGTGACTGGCCACAAAGCGCCATATACCAGTTATGCACGAAGTCCATAATAGTGCTTACTTCAATTGTAAACTGTGTGGTTTAGAATGTCTTCTGACACTTTCTTCTGATTAACTTTGAAAGCAAACATTTAATATATTTCCTTTTGTATTTTAATGTAAGATTTTGCTTACACGTCTTGACATCTCAGCATGCCTTGCTGTATTGTGATATTTTATCCCTACCTGGTTTACATATATTGTCAAAATTCCTATGCATCACTTAGTGAGTGTTTTTAAAGTGAACATCTGACTTAGAAAGTGACATGATCAGCAAGTTGCATACCTTACAATATTTGTGTCCTGTCAGGTACCGGACACTAAGCCCAAACATTCAGGCCGAACGAATACTGGTGACTTACATACAACTAACACACAACTCATACAACTCAACAAAGAAACTCACCACGTTGTTGGAGGTTTTTGTTTTTGGTTTGTTTTTTTAAATTGGGTTTCCATATCTTTGCAAAGTTTGGTCACCGTGTTGATATCACCTTAAAATCTTTTTGTACAGCGACTCAATTTTTCTGTTGATATTTTGATCCAAACATAGTAGTAAGCTTAAAGACGAGCCCTCCAAATTTTAATGCAAACATGCAAATACGGACATCTGTATATGTTCTACATATTCATTATTAAGTATAAACAAAGAGACGTATGTGGCTTTGTTGAGGAGACATGCTCATGGTTTGCATAATTCTCACTGATCTGTCGTTTTGACAGTATGATTTGGATACATGGACTTCATTTTGCAGACACGTGGAAACCCCTTTAAGTGGAAAAACCAATTGGAAAAGAAAGATAATTTGGAGAAACAAAAGATGAGGCTGTGGAAATGGAAAATCACGAGAGAGAGAGATAAAAAAGGAGGTGAATGCAAAAAAGAGTAAAGCAATGCAAGCAGGCAGGCAGGCAGGCAGTATGGAGCATAACTTGCCTTGGATCTCATCCAGTACTGATGCTGGAGGTACATTGGGGGGATGTATACGTACGTACGCAGCAGGCACCGTTTCAGGAAGCACGCAAAACGGGAAACGAGAGACCAACGAGAAACGAGAGTCAAAGACAAGTGATGGCAACGTTAAAATGCACATGGCAGCGTGGTGTGTGATATCTTGGGTGGCCAGCTCAGGTTCAACTGGTTAATGGCACATTGCCAGTGCTGTTAATGGTCTATGCTAAACTGTTAACGCCATGTTAATACACTGGAGGTCATCCCAATTTTCCGATAAATCTTTTACTTTTACAGCCCAAAAAACACAGCCCAAAAAAGTGGTGTATTTCATAGTTTACAATGGTTTATTAAAAGCAATTTCGTTTTCTTATTCTTCTTTTTACTTCTGTGAACACCTTTTCAGAAACTGAATGAAATGACTCCTGAATAATGTGTCATAATTAGATAGACCTCATGTCAACTTTAGGGATTTGCTTTAGAAGTTAAGAAGTTTTAAACATTTATTCAGAAAAAAACTCACAAATTTCTAATTCACTTTGAGTGAAACATGGATAAGAATAAATGACTGCCAGAAAAGAAACTTTGTTATTAACAAAGATTATTGTCGATTTTTGCATCATTGTTTTGCTAATTCTAGGTTAGAAAGCAGACAAGGTATTCTTCTACACTATACAGCCTTTAACTGCGTGAACTGGGAGATAATTGATTATTCGGCTCAGGCATTTTCATTCAATTACAAAAAAAAAATTGTATTAGCAGCCTAACATTAATTCTGGACAGACTTGCAACAAAAAATTAAATAAATGCTATTTGAAAAGAAAAAAAAATCATGAACTCAAGTTATTCTACCAAAATATCAATTGACAAATTGTGGAAAAAATTCCAAGGGAAAAAATTAATCAGAAATTTTATTAGATTTTTTTGGTAACAAATTGTCTCAGCACTGAAATGACGCACCCGTGAAAAAACAAAAAATAACAAGACGTGGCTATATAAAATGTACAGTGGCACACTTCTCAATAATCAAAGCACATGATGAAATTGTAACGCATTAAACGTACGTACGGTGCGGACAAAACGTGAAACATTTGGCCAGTATTGCTGTTTCAGCAACCATGTTCATCAAAACAACACTGGACACAATATATATATTGAACTGTGTGCTGTAGACTGAGGACATTTAAACATTGGATGCATATAACAATCCCTTGTGACTTGTCTTGTACACAACATATTTAAAAAGAGATCCAGTCCACGTAATAGCCACAGAAATGTTCCATTGACAAATGCAAAGAAATGTGATGTTTTCGACATACTACTGCTAGCAGAAGTATTGCAGAAAGCGATTCACTGTTGCTTGACTGACATACTTCTTGATCAAAATTTTTGGGTCGCTGGATGAATATATTTGGAGAACAAAGTTTCGAGGAACTAACTTTCAACATTGGATACTGAAAGAAATACGGGCGATTCCCGTAATAGCCACCAAGAGGTTGCAACAGAGAGTCCATTTTTCGCAGTGCATTGTGCATTGACAAAATTGCCATGGTGCGGGACACTTAAAATTGTTAAGTTTGTCCAGTCAGTAGTTTCGTAAGAGTATGATTCAAGTATCTTTTTTTTTTCTTTTCTTTTTATCAAGATGGTGGTGTTTTTTTGTGAGGCGGCAGAATGTTATTCCCCAATCTATCAAAAAAATTTCAAGTTGTCTACTGACATTCATTCAAATCGCAGCAAGTCAGCCATGTTTTTGTCGACCCTAAAACTCTCTGTCCGTGGCAACCTCTTGGTTGTACACTGCATTGGGAATCGCCCGTATTGCAATGTTATACACAGGAATTAAAAGAGACATTCTCTGAAAAATAAAACATTCTTTGTTTTGTTTGGTTTTGATGGAACAGTGTTAGCTGCTAAACTGATACCACAAAGCAAAAAAAATCCAAGTATTTGGACGAAATGTCAAGTTATCAGCTTCTTCTTATTATGCAAAGCTTCTTGGCAGTAGTTTACTTGTACACTACTCCATATAGGTGGTGTACTCCACTTTATAACACCTCAAGTTTCAGAAAACCAAAGTCTGCTTAAATACTCAATCTAAATGAATTATAAGGCCATTATTCCACAGAAATCTCACTTCCCTACTTTTCTTCTTTTTTGGGGGGGGGGGGTCTGTGTTATTGCGTTTCCTCAAAAACACCTTTGTTCCACGATTTTTATATTATTTCTTTAAAATATGTGTAGTTAATCATATCAAAGGTTACAAATATCAATAACTCTGAAAATAAAAAAAAATAAAAAAAATCAACCCCCATTCAGTTTTTCCACTACGGCTTGTGCGCTCAGCTATGTCTCATTTTGCTAGAACACCTCACACTGTTCGGCTCTAGTAAGCACAACTCGTCTGCTAACTGTTAACCAGTTCACGACGGGATTATTTTGACAAGAACGGAACAAGACGTGGTATTACTTTTCACTCGACCTCAATCCAGGCAGGTTGAAGCCATCACCCTCAGGCAGCACACTTATATTTCCAGCCTCGCTTGCTGCGAGCAGGTCGCTGACAGATATTTCCGGCCTCACTCCCTGCGTGTTTATCAGTCATCCGTTCCGAATACCGCAAAACCTTTGCGTGTACACATGTCATCCGGCGCGAACTGGTTAAGCAGCACCATGAAAGTGGGCCCTGAAAATTGCACTGCTTATCAAAGTGTCTTTGATACATTATCTACAGACTACCTGTAGCCATTCATTTTTGTCTTCCATCTCATCACAGAAAAAAACACCTCCACTAACCTTCATGCAATGCATCTGCATTGCCACCGCTCTGACCACGGCTGAGCAGAAGACCGGTGGTGGGGTGAAGCGCATACCCCCTGATGGAGAGGACATCGTCAGCAGGGACAGACCATCCCCACCCCCAGGGGCTGAGCCATCACACAGGAGCAATGCTAGACAGATGTTCAGCAGAGACTACATGTCGGGACAATCAAGGACATTAAATCAGATCTGAATAATATGCGTGCATTATAAACAAAGAAGCCTTGGTTATGGGATGTATGCATGCTAATGTTGTACAAACCCGACCTGAAACGACTTTGGGTCGGGTCAGGTCGGTTTCTCCATCATTTCAGTCGGTTCGGGTCGGATCGGTTAGGCCATCTTGTGAAAAACCCGAAATAAACAGAAGTAAACCGAAATTAACTGAAAAATTTGAAAGTTCAAGCCGCGCAATATTTTTGTAGAGTTACTGTGCCCGGTATGACCAATGTCAAACCACCATGCAAATGAGCATGAGATTTGCGGTCTATCACGCACAGTCTATAACGTGTAGGTCCATCAATAAGTCACGTTCTGATTCTTTACCGTACTGTACGGCATGTTTCTGTTACAGAGAGATGACGATTTTCACTTGACGTTGGCAAATTGAGGTGCAAAAAGCGGACACAGTTGCCCAAACCAGATATTCATTTTTTTTCAGGTCGGTTCGGTTTCAGGTCAGTTCAGGTCGGCTTTGCTTGAATTTTTGTAGGGTCGGGTAGGATTAGGGGGGGTTCAGATCAGTTTCGGTTCGGATTGGTTTACATCTTTAAAGTTCCCGGTCAGTTTAGACTTGACAACCCGACCCAATGCACAACATTAATGCATGCACACAAGCCAAAAGTCCTTGTAGGCTACAAACAGTTCAACAGTTCTGGTAGACGGAAAAGGAGGCCATCTAGAACGACCCGCGTCACACCCTATTGTTAGAATTCCCATTGGCTTTGTATGTGTAACCTTACAAAGCCAGTGAGAATTCATTCAAGTAAGGTATGAAGCACGTTGTTCTAGTGACCTCCTTTTCCATCTACATGTACCTACGTCCAGAGCAATACAAAAATTAGGCAAACATTGAGAGCACTTTAGTTTGTAGAAAAAGTTCTCGTACCAAGATATTTCTTTTGGCTCTACTTACCGTTAACAAAAAAAATCTCTGCTGACTATAGCAAAACAATTTACAGTTAGCATATTTTGGCTTCTGCGCATGCGTACATCCCATGATTTTTCTGATAGTGCCGTAGCTCAGAATGGTGATCGTAAGCGCAGAATTCAATGGTTAGCAGAGCCATGAAATTGAGCCAAAATGGATCGAGGGTCTGGTACCTTGAGATGCGGTAGATGACTAATGATACTCTGCCTAGTCAGGGTCACATAGATTCCTTTCAGAAAGTTAGCTGCAGACTCCCAATCCATGTGACGCTGTCACCAAAATGGAAAAAAGGTTTGGTTGAATCATTGAACAATAGTAATTAGGCTTGACTGACTTGATAGGAGTTAAGGTTGTAAGGTTGAGCTGGATTTGGTTGGGTTGGGTTGGATTGGACAGACCTGGTTATATTGATAGTTACATCAGGATACATTAATCTGTAAACAACAATATCTGCATGGGACATATAAGGTTTTATCAAATTTTCAAATGAACCACAAAGGGAAACTGAGTAGGTGCATTATAACATTTTTTTTAGAATTGAACAAAGAAATTGACTGCAGCGAGATCTGAACCTGCAACCTCCAGATTCCAGTTCCAGTGCTCTACCAACTGAGCTATACAGCCCTATAATGGCGCTTTCCCAATTTGTCAGTGTCTTTTTTCAAGGGGCACTAGAGAGAAGCCATATACCTGAATATTTATGCCACGTAGCCAGGGATCATGCCAAAAGTCCCGACGCTAGCAACATTAGCAGCATTGCTAATTAGCAAAGCTGCAAACCTGGGTTAGCAGCATTGCTAATGACAGATTTGATTCCAGTTTCTGAGCTGGTCTACTCACCATGAGTGTTGGTTTCTTGTGGATCTTATTGAAGAGTTTATCCAGTCTCTTCAGGATGAGTATGAGTGCTGGCCGGAGGTCTTGGCTAGTCCAGTCAGTCTGTGGGATCATCTGAGTGATGTACATCTGCAGTCCCTTACAGCCCATGGTGATGGGGTCATGAGGGGCTACCTTCAGCAGAGTGTGAGCCACTTCAGCCAGCCTCTGCGAGGATGGAATCAAGTCCAGAAAAAAAAACGCCGTGAGGTTTTGACCAATCACAGTCATGATTAATATGTGACAAAAGTCCAACATGCAGTGTGGCAGTCAATTAAAGAAGCGCCTATGTTGTTGGCAATGTGTACAGTGCATGGGGCCTATAAATGAATTAGACAATTGAGAACAAACGATGCTGAAGGCAATGATGTTCTTTTTATTAACAAATATTGATTTACACATTTTGTGTGTGATTTATGGGCAGTTGATTTAAATCTAGCACTCAATTCTCTTGATTTATGCAATTTCTGTAAACGTAATGCAAGACAATGAATCCTTAACGTATTAAGGATATAACAGTTAACTGTTGGACCTTAAATGAAGGATTATTTGACGCTGCACTGTGGGACAGTTTGTGCCGCACAAATCTCAATTCACTATCTCACAAATGCACATGGCCTTTACTTTGTGAAAAAAATCAATCAAAAAGAATCCGAGGAAATGGCCACATTTTGGTAAAGATAATCGTGCTAATAGACTGTTCCATTCAGGCATGCAACTGGCAATTTAGAAAAAACAAGGAAACTCCAAACCACACAAGACACTGTACAGCATTTTTCAATTTGAAATGGCATTCATGAGAAGTAAAAACGAAGAGATCAGTGGATCCGAGGAAAAGTTGCATGCCTGTCCATTAAGCCACACCCTAAAGCGTTTTGACCAATCGTAGCCTTAATTCACATCTGACATGCTTGGACAAAAGTCTGACATGCTTGCACTTCCATATGATGCCCATGTTTGGAACATTCAGGGTGCCATTGGAGAAGTGCACGTTGTTTCCCATGTGTCCAGAGGGTGGGGCTTATACGTCAGCCTATCAACTTACCAAGTGGCAGCGTTGGTCTAGTAGCTCTAATGATGATGAGGAGCTGTGTTGTCTGGATTCATTGTGTGGTCGTAGTTCCTTCAATCTAGCCAGGCTATGGCAGTAGTAACCAGCAGCTATGTTCAGCAGCATATCCCGCGGCTTGCAAAACTCATTCATGGGTTCTGCATCCTCAGAATCATCCTCATACCGACGCCGGACCCGGTAATCATTGTATCTGAGACCAAAAAGAATATAATTAGTAACTTATCATCTTTCAATTGTAAAAATTGCCAAGGGCCCTCTAAAAGCCAGTTCAAATGAGAAGCACAGTTGAGGTCTTGAAACATTCGCTGCGAGTATTGCAGAGTTGAAATGTGTTCAACTTTGCATATTCGGGAATTCATATTCACCACACATTCGCATTAACGTTCACTTTTGTGTCGAGTGTTAATTGGCCTTAAGGTGTTTTGAGCATTAATGGTTTGTCCTGATATGTCCAAGCCTACTGTCGGTACATACCATCGGTCGCACCATGAAGTGACGTATCGTTTGCACAAAATCAACTCTGTGGTGCAGCCAACGATGCGTAGCACACAGTGAGTCTCATATGCAGTCACAAGACCACACAACCTAATGATCTATCCGGTGCACTAAACATAACCGTATTTATGGAAAATCTCTCTACAGACTAATTCTGCGAACTAACTTAGAAGCTATTTTGAGGTGGAACTATGTTAGTTTGCATACCGCACACGTTCTTAAAGTCAAGATGCGTGAGCATTTTGGTAACCCTATTGATTGAATGAGCCCAGAGTGCATGCATACTATCAGAGCGCAAATTGCGCAAGTCTGGGCGAGACAGGGATTTTTTTAAACTTGCTACTGACCTGAATTGGAAATCTTCCCTCATGTCTTCTTCTCCGAGGTCAGCCCCGGCAGCATTCATGGCTGACTTACGGGAAGCCTTGTGCACCGAGCTCTGCTGGGAATTATTGGAGCTCTTGAAGCTTGTTGTGGCATTGACGTTCTCTATCTTACGGCTGGGACCACTTGTGCTACTACAGACATCAAAAGAATCAAAAACAGAATAATCATGATAGTACTAGAGACATCTTTTGGGCAAAATAAAGTCTTTGTCCTTGTTCTGTCACGCCACTTGAAAATCATGTATCCAAAATGAAGCACATTCCTCGGGTAAACAGGTTATTATGTATCCTCATTTCTGTGCACAGTCAGTTGGCAATCAGTCTTTTTACCGTGGAACTAGTAAAATATCAATGGCTATCAACTGTACTTCACTCTTTCATGTAGGGCTAATAATCATCCCAATAAGCCATTTGCGAGTTAAATTTGAATAAAATCTGGAATGCTGACTTAATCCAATGCTTTGCACATTTTAACTTTGCACTCTCCCGACCAAAGAGACTGTTAAATGTATCACGTGATTCGGGGCAAGCCTTATGCTAGCAACCCCCAGCTCCGGCATGGTCTGGTGTCTTTGTGCCATTCTCACCCATTGTGAACAACGTAACTATGCAAGAGCTAGCCCCGAATCATGTTATTAGCAACAGTGTCTTTGGTCTGGAGAATTCACAGTTAAAATGTGCCAAGCATTCTGAGCAAGTCAGTGTACCAGATGTTTTTCAAATGTAAATCCCAAAGGTTAAAGGTTACTCGCAAATGGCTTATTGCTTTATACCACAGCACTGTATAATAGAAAGGACATGAAATGGCGCTGAATGTGTGCGGTCCCAGGTCTGCGGATTTTGCTGAAATTCATGGTCATACTAAGCAGAGGCAGGTTGAATATGATGTGAAAATAAGGCAAAATTGAGAACAAGGCGTGAGAAAATAATAATTCCAAGAGATTTAAGACTGACCGTGCCAATGTTTCAGCGCCTATAATGAGTGACTTGATACAGACTCCCATGCTATTGATGACAGCGGTCTCTGACTTGGCAGCGCTGGGATTGTCTCTCTTCTTGGTCTGTTCCTTGACATGTTCCAGGTAGAGAGGCACAAGGTCTGCCAGAACACTCTTTGTCAAGATGGAAAAAGGGAAAAGACATTGATATCAGTCTGAGTAGTCATGGCTTGAATAGATCCTACATGGGCTATTCAATGGTTCAAGTGACATTGGACTCAAGTTCAAATTATATGCCACTGGTTATTTCAATGCCAGTATGGAGCTGTTCAGGGGAAAAGATCTCACGTGAAGATTCCAGTTGAATTTTAAATCAGTTAAGCTGGAAATTGGTGACTGGTTTTGAGTTGGTTTAACTCAGCTTGTACCAGTTCAAAACCAGTTAAACCAGTAAAACACTAGTTCAAAACAAGTGGCCAATGTGATTGCTCAGCAATTGATGTGATTAGTAGAAATGCTGCTGAGAACCAGTCACAAGCAAGATACATGTATGTCAATGACATTTTGGCTGGTATACTATTGCACTAAGCAAACATTTGTCTGTGCTGAGCAAATTCCTGTGCTTGACTTATCTGCTACCCGTTAACATTCTGCAGTTATGATCACCATTCTATGGCTATATCTCTTGCACCGAAGTTCTGAGCAAACTCTTCAGGAACAAAGTTCTTAGAAGTACACAAGCACACAGGCAAAAATATCTTGTTAACCTATGAAAAGCATTTACAGTAAGATTATTCACCTATGCCTGGCAGAGGTATGAAATTATGCCCTTTTGAAGCTATCGTTATCATTTTCATGTTCCTAATCACTACTGTTGAAGTTAATGAGGGTGTGAACCAATGATCCCTTTGGTGTACAGACTGCCTAAGACACATTATAATCTGTGCATGTAATCAAAATAATCTGTGCATCAAAGGAAAAGCTTTTTCATGTGTGTGCTTATCTAGAATTTTTGAAATATGAAACTTGTGAACTGGTGATAAATTAAAGAATAACTGGGAGTAAGAATGAGTCATCTTACCAGCATCTGTGCACTGCGGATAGACTCAGGAGCATATGCCACTACTATGGCACACAGGCGTATTGCCTCTGCAATACTGAAGGTTGCCAAGTGATCATTACTGTAGCAGAAATCCTGTAAGATCAAACAGGAAACATTACCAATCAGTGAAAACAAATTTTCACAAAGGAACTCATATAAAAAGGGTGCGCAAAAAACAAAAAACCTCTATATCCGAGTGGATTCAACTCGGTCATCATTTGCTACGTTTTTCAAAATTTCCCATCATAAAGTCCGCATCTTTGACTTGGTGAGTCAGGTTGGCATAGTGGTACTTTCCTTAGGTTGGCATAGCAGTACTTTTTTTGCCTTCCACCTCTGTAACCAATCACCCCTGCGCCAATGTGAATATGGTTTTCAGTCCCTGCCTGATTCCATGGGTTTTCCCTAGCATATCAATCTCCTCCCATCTCCAAAACTGTAATTGCTTCTCACTGTCTCCTCTCTACATGTTTTTTTCATGCTTGCGAGCTACAGTGCCTAGGGCATTTTTGAGGAATCCTTGGTTTCATTACCAGAAATAAAATAATAATAACAAAATAATCTTTTCTGCAGGCAGGGTACGTGAAAAAGGTTAAAGTGGACTAATGCAATTATCCTGTAGGGCAGTATCCCAATCCTGTAGATTTTGTCTTGTGTGAAATGGTTTAGTCTCCCTTAAGAATGCACACGTGTAAAGAAAGCTTGACTTCATTACATCTGACATAATTATATAGGTTTGGTTTTCACAGCCAAAATAGGTTCAATAAACTTCTCCAGCATCTTTCCTTAAAAAAATTACAACACCTTGTACACATTGGCTTTACAGAGTTGCACTGAACTAAACTATGCCCAACACTGAAATGAGTTCCACACTGCAAAACAGGAGCAACTGCAAGAGCAAGATGTCAATAGATCAGCTGTTGCACTCATTCAGTATGTCATCTTGAATTCAGATGTTGCTCTAAAGTCTGCCGCACACCTTTCCGATTTTGCCGGTTCACCAGATCATAGGCACATTGCACAGAGGTGTACGCTGAAAATTCGGTCCGATGTGACTAAACAGGGCGATAGGATGAATTCAAAAATGTTTGATTTTGTCGCATCTGATTTCACCAGACCCGATTTCACTGGACGCAATATTTATGTTAACCAATCAGATTCACGAAGTCACATGGCTGTCATCATGTGACTGGTCATCATGTGACTGGTCATCATGTGACTGATCATCATGTGACCGATTAAAGGACGGAATCGTGCATGTGCGCGGATAACGTTTTAGTCTAACGCAGCTGTGAAAAAAAAGGACTGGTGATGGGATGATCCGGGAACCGTTAAAATCGGAAGGTGTGCGCCGGTCAATAGAAAATTAAAGGCATATAAGAACATTTGCATTCATACCAAAAGTAGCCTACCAAATTATTATCAATCAGCTTACTTGGATTAAAGATCTTACTGGTACTAAACATCGTGTGAAATTATTCCGTCTGGCTTGCTGTCATTTATAATGAATCAAGAAACGAGGGCGATTTCCAATGATCAATCAACGGACTGATTTTTGGAAACAAAGAGTGCTATTGATGAAATCGTATTTCATGATCAAGAGCTTGTTCATGATTTTTTCACTGTTTTCTTAAAACGTGTCATATCCACTGAGCTGAAACTTCAACCATAGGTTTTGAACACTCTTCTTTGGGTTTTGAGTGATGTTATTATCGGAAACAAACAAAATGCATGAAACGCAGCTGATTCTTGTTATATGCCTTTAAGCCATACAGTGTATTTGGCTCAACTAGAGTGCTAGCCTGAACCAGAGGTCAATGACTAATTGTCAAGAATATACTCTCTAATTTCCAAAGACTGAAACCAGAGATTAGAGGATTTAGAAAATCATTCTTATTTTAGACTAAAATACTGAAAAAAAAGAGTCCATCCAGTGGAAACTTCAGTGAAAACTCGATCTGTTAGATTGAATGAATTTCACTCTATAATGTCTGGTCCCTCGTTTCAGTCGGTGGGAGTGCATTTTCAATCTTTGGAAATGAGACAGTAGCATACCAGCGTCTTCATTGGTTTTTCACCGGTAACCAACTCCAGTATGTCCAGGGAATCCTTGCTGTCTTTCTCCATGGAAAGCAGGAGACGGAACAGGCATCGGGGAGAAATCTAACAACAGAAAAGCAAAAAAGGGGTCACCGCAAATTCTTTCAAGGATGGAGGAGAAACTGAGGGGAAAAAGTAAAACTGGAATATTGACAGAGACTTTTACTTTAACATTAAAAGAGGTAAGCATGAAGTATCTGTGTGCTCGGTGTTGTTACTGATGGGGTAGCTGTACGCATGGCCTACTCACAAAGAGATGGCAGTATTGCACGAATGTGGAACATGACCCCATAGCAAGCACCATAATGGTTTGCACTCCCTTAAAATGTAGTATTATTGTGTGTAGTGTTGAAGTTAAATCCTTTCCAATTACATAGTAGGAAACAGTAAAGCAGCAAGGTTACTGAGTACTCAGAATATAGTTTTCAGGTTCCACCAACTTCAACCAAAACAAACATGTCAGATGCACAGAAGGCATCCACTACAAAAAGGTGTGATAACAAGGGAATCAATGGTCACAATTAGATATCATGTCCGCACTGGACAGTAAAGTTTCATTCTTTTTCTTTTAGACAGTCCCTGCCTACATGCCAACCTATAGTCGACCAGCAACGGCATACAAACTTGCCTTCTGTGGGTTGATCTCTTCTTCTCCTTGTAGCAACGGGGCTGCACTCCCAAACAACTGACGAAGAAAGACATGGCAATTTTTACTTCTTGTATCTTTTACTATCAATTTAAAACAATTAAATAAAAACCAAAAATCATATTTTTAAAGTGCACATGAAATCAAAGTGTGACTTCATTAGTACAGAGGCTTATTCATGTTTTAAGGCCTGGTTTATACTTCATATGAATGTGAACGCAAAGCAACTTTGACATCATGAAACATTCACTACCACATTCCGCAGCTGGGTTCACTTTTTTGAGTATGAGCTGGCCTTTAGCCATCAAAATAAAAATGTTTGAAAATAAATTTTATAAAAGTATTACCTGAAGGACAAATGGCTTCATGTGGAGTACGTAGAACTGCCGACAGACGTACTGGATCATTAAAGGAAAGAAATTGTATTCTTTATTAACATGATAAGAAAAAAGAAAAAAGCTAGAAGATATTATACAGCACATACAATGTTGTGACAGAAAAAATGTGCCTTTCAATGGTGAAAATGGAACATGCGCTAAACATTTCTCAGAAATTTCGCTTCAGAAATTTAAAACATAAAAAGTCGGAAATATTCTGCTAACATCTGAAATGAAGGGAAATTGAAAAGAAATTAGGGACGGGGCAGTAAAACAACTCAAACCATGCAAGAGTTTGTATTCTTAACTCTGTATAGACTGCAGATAGGTCCATAGATCTTGGTTAAAAGATTACAAACACGAGTGAAGAATAGACTTGATCTGAACTGTAAAGCGAGGGAAGTAAATTGAAGTTTGTAAAAGAAATGACTTACATGCATGAACTACACGTTAACAACTGCAGGGATAATGGGTTGTCACCAACTACATGCACACCAAGAAAACCCAAGGCTTCATCGTGCAACACTGAAAACTAAGACATGGTACAACTATCACAGTGACTAAATCAGGATCATGAAATGAAATGTTCAAATTCCTCTTAAAGATGATCACAGTTCAGGGGAAAAAATGTAGCAAAATACAGCGAGCGATTGATTCATTTTTTTTCAGAATATGATATTGGACAGATCTAATAAGCAATGACTGTGAATTTAAATTAATTCACACTATCAACTAAAAGAACGATTAAACGAAATGACATTTTTAGTGTCTGGCATTCCCCAAATCTTATAAATGCGTAAATTTGATCCTTCCTTATGAAAAGAAAAGAAAAATAATTTTGAGTCCAAGACAAAATATAAAGAATTAATACACAGCACATTTTACTTTTCATTATTTGTGTCAATTGAAATGGGCAAAATAGAGTTTGAATATATGAAGAGAACTACATCGCACAACACAATACAATACCTCGATGGCTCGGCAGACAAGAGGATTGGAGTTGTGGTAATTATAGACTCGTAGGATGGTAGGCATGATGTACTGAAACCTGTAAGACAAGGATAGACATTGCAAGCAACTCCACACAACCGGGTCCACTAATCAAAACATCCGATTAATACCTACATGTATGCTTCTTCTCAGGATCACTTAACTTTAAGGGTTGTTCACTTCACAACTATTTCCGAAGTTTATACTTCAATCACTCATTGACATCATTGTGGACTGCTGTGGCCTCGTGGTCTGGAGCATTGAATTTGTGGTCTGCGGGTAATTTCACGGGTTGTGGGTTCAAGTCCAGCATGCGGCTGCAGTGCGTGTGCCCTTGGGCAAGGCACTTTGTCACGCATTGCTTCTCTCCACCAAAGAGTTAATGGGCACTTGTGAGGGCAGAGATAGTTATTGTGATTGATTCTAGCAGCATCGAGCAACAGGCAGCATCGAGCCGTATACTCCCCAGGGAGCTGAGATGGTATATGGAATGTTTCATGGGCCCGATGAGCAGGGGTAATAATAAGCGCCTTGAATCCTTTGTCTCTATTTGTATCCTTTGGCAATTTGGCGCAAGTCCAGTTATTTATTATTACCTGGGAGTCAGGTTGATGTAACGGTTCTTTCCTAACCTTCCTGTGGCCTGGCTTCAAATCCCACCCAGCCCACGATGTGATTTGTGTGGTTTTCAGTCCCTGCCTGAGCCTGTGGATTTTTCTGGAATACATTTCCAAGGTTTTCCTGCCTAGTTTAAAACGCAACATTTATTTCATGTCTCCTCCATGTAGGTTTCTCCAAACGTCCGAAACTACAGTGCTTGCATGTGCACTTTCGAAGAACCCTTGGTTTCTTAACATCAGAAAGAATTAAATAAAACAAAAAGCATCTGTTTTTAATAGACCAGTACCAGATTTCACGAAACTTACGATGCATCACAGTGATGCGACACGTCGTATCCCTAAGATGCAACGCAGCTGCGATGAGTCCTGCGATTCATTCCACAAAACGCGTCGTACGTGCGATGCGTTATATGTGTATTTATAGCACATAACCATTGATCTCCATAAGTAAGACAGTTACTTATATGTATTTATTCAGCGTACAGTAAAAAGTCGTCTCATATTCAACAAGGAGTCGTCGGATCTCCTCTAAAAAAGTGTTTAAAACGTAAACCAAAATGGCGGACGTGCGATGCCATACAAGGAGAACAAGCTCGCGGTGGATTGTTAGCTGCTTTGAAATTCCAACTGCAATATTCGAGGCTAATCCATAATTTCTTCAATGCATTTTCCATTTACAACTATACACACATTGTCTCAGTATTATAGTCTCATTTATGTCATATTTATGACAAAACACTGGCTAAGAAAAGAACCCTTCTTATTTTGCAATGACCACAAGTCACGTTGTATCTTGCGATGTGTTTTACGACGACGTCGCGATCATGCGCGCACGTCAATCACCATATAAGGAGATTGTTTACTACTACTTGCGAGAGGATATTCCATACCATAGCTAGAGGGATGTTTAAAAAAAACAATGAAGTAAAACTGTTCAACAAAATCGTTGGAAATGTATAAGTTTTGACTTGTGTCGACATTTTGACTCAAAAAGTATTTGTGAATGGGAAAACAAGTACATTTAAGACCGTATCAGGGGAATGCGCGCTGATAATGGCTCGAGCCGAACTGACCAAGCACTAATTATTCCCTTATTGTCAAAGAAGCCACATGACTGTCTATGCTGTGGAATCGTCGCAATCACACGATTTCTCAGTTTTGTGACCTGAGTATTATTTTTCTGCTTGATGCCGACGGTTCCGTCATGGCACAAGCAAATAGCAGGTCGACCTGAGGCCGGCTTTACACATCGTAACTCGGGTTGCGATGTGCCCAGCTTCGTGAAATCGGGTGCAGGATCATAACGACATACAGGTGCACTTTCTTAGGGAAGCTTGTGTCTCTCCTCTCTACCTGGCTTCCATAAGAAAGCGCACCTGTAAACAAAACGTCTGTTTACCCTTTGGTAGCAAACATCTGCTTGAAGTGCCGTGAGATATTGATAAAGGATGAAAGGCACAAACGAAGCAAGGAGATATCTTGACAGTGAAGCAACAGACAACCGTTCAGTACATTCAGGAAGAGCTGAATATCCCCACTCCAGGAGAAGTCGCTGGACATGTTCAGGAAAATGGCCGCTGTGAACTGGAAGTCCAAACAAAGCAAAAAAGCAGCATGAATTCTTGTTTTGGTTTATAGACAGAGGCAGAATTAATTGAAGGACGGAATGTGCAGTGTGTACTACCACAACCAGTGCTTCTGGGCAGAGGTTGAAACGGAGATAATATATGACCTAAACACTGAGAGTGTTTATTTCCTCCATTTTTCAGCTTTTTTGCAAATTTGTGACGCTTAATGTGTTTTTATATAGTGAACATTAATTATGTCTTTATACAGTAATTGTGCTCAAAAAGCTGATATTTGTAATGAGTTGTAGTGGTATTTTAATGCCAGATATGCTTAACCCAAAACTTTAGTAGGCAAAAGTTTGTCAAAGAGGGTCAAGTTTTCACAAATTAAATCATCAATGCAATGGAGATGATCTTGATTACAACAACATTTCAAACCCTAGTTTTTGGCCACCTGCCCAGATGAGCTTGTTTTAACAGAACACTTCACCATGTTCACATAATAGGCAACAGCCTCTCCAGAAAATGAGTCACTTGTTACTCATACACATACTTATTGATAAGCATGGTATAAGCACCGTATGCTGTCCAAGAGACTGTGAGAAACAACTGCAATGCCCACTTCTGTATCAGATTCAAAGTGGTCAGCAAATCCTAGCAAGATTGCTGTTCAGTGGTTAGGAGGTGGTTGGTTCGAGTCCCGCCTGAGGAAGCTGGTGACTGTCATCTCACAAGCACTCAAGCAGCACTGAGCATACACTGCTTAGTAAACTATATTAGTGGCAGGCAAATTGAAATTCACACCTCCTCAATGCAGAAAATCATCAAAGGTCCCATTTTTTTCGTTATTTTCAAATTTTAACCGTTTGTTTAGATAGCTCCAGTTTGAATGACTTTCAGGGAATATGCCTATATAGAACATCCCCAAAAACTTCACAGTTGTGGTACCTGGCTTCACTGTAGTGAAATCGCCACCTTTTATCTACTTTGGAAATTGACCAAAATGAACAAACCAAAAGAAACATGTATAACTAACAAAAGAAACTCTTTCCGGTCATGCTCACTCCTTTCATGAGGGGAGCTAAACAAGTCAAGTTGGCAGAGCAAGTCATACCAACACTATCATCAACTAAAATCCGCAACTCATCCAATTATCTCCACAACCCTAGCCCAGCCTAGGTCCGCCTAGTCCTGATATAAACCAAACCTGAAACTAATCCAAACAGTTTCTGACAGACTTGGGGAAACTCAACAATACTCAACACTTTAGACAGTGAGTGGCCCAATTCTAATCTTACCTTGACCCACATGTATTTATGCATGACATCTAGGCCAAACAGTTCCTGTGATGTAAAAGAACAAAACAATCTGATGATAAATTTCTCAGTTGAAGTGATGCTGAAATGATTGTGACATAACAAGAAAATGATTAACATATAAGATTTAAAGCTTTACATGGTGGAGCATCAGTATTGTTTCAGTTTGTGGTAACACCCAACTACTGTCGCTAAGTAGATATTTAGTTCCGATAAGAACTTGTCTTACTTATTATCAACTTTCCCTGAAAGTTCTAATAGAACAGTCTCCTGACGATGACAATAGCAGGCTAGTAGAAACGTTGAGACCAAAGACAAGGTTTTTTTGAACTTTAAGCAGGGCTGTTCTAAACTACTTAGCGAAAGTTGATACTAAGCGGGACAAGTTCTTATCAGAACTAAATATCTACTGAGCGACAGTACTTATTACCACATGGTGTTACCACAAACCAAAATGATTATTAAGATGTTTTACACTTCTATGATAATAAGCAAGTTTGGTATCTCAATGAGGTAGTCCAGGTCAAAGGTCTTCGCGATAAAATACATTAACGCTCATTCTATTTGCTATTAATGCGCGAGTGTCATACGACTGTCTCCTTGCGCATTTATGCACTTCAATGTGCATTCGATTATCCCGAAAGACTAGTGAACCATATCATTGTGCGCTTGCGCAGTTGAAATACCAAACAGACTGATCACACAGGGCTACCAAAATCAATCAAATAAAATTGGTGGGGTGGTTTTTTTTTTGGGGGGGGGGGAAATGGCTTTGCCATGAGACAAGATGACCCATGTCAACACATTGAACCAAGACCTGTTTTTGTTGCAATAAAGCTAAGTTATTCAAAAGACATTTACGAACATTTACCACCTAAAATTTCTCCATAAACTCACAAATTCTCTGTTTTTCCTAAAAATTCCAAAATCATATATTTTCTTCTGGAATTTTTCCCAGCATTTTCTTTTCATATTTTCACTGAAATTCAAGATTTCAATTAATTATCTCCAGCCACAGACACTTTCTTCATATGTCTACTTTTCAATTAATCTTTTTCCCATCCCAGAAAGAATATGAGAATGCCTTACCTTTCCCTGCTTAGGAATGGTATACAGGAGGAACTCAGCATCCAGTGACTTGCGTGGGAATGAAGGAAGTCTGATCAACTCATCATGCAAGAAAGTGATGTGTGAACTCATCTGAGTCAGGCAACGAGAAATAAAAAGTTGGCATTGACTGTTTTATGGATACTGCTAATCATGAGGCCATGGGCCACTGAAGGTGCTGCAGCCGATTTCATGAAACCTTTCGAAGTGGTTCAACTTTGCTTACGCCAACATTTATTGCATAAGTTGCACAACATTTCACGCTGCCGACATGTCACTTATGACACATCACGAAAGTCGGATAGTGCGTAAGTCCGCAACTTGCACAATAAATTATGGCGTAACTTGCACAATTATTTCAGGCGGTGTAACTTGTGGTGTAGCGAGTGAAAAATGACACATTTTACCAGCAAATCGGGACTGTAGTTAAGCCCGTTATTGCACAACTTAACAAGGTTGATACAAGACACTCAAAACTTTATGTTTGAAGTAAATGAATTTCTAGTTTACTGGAAACATTAGTTTTACAGTTGCCGAATGATTCCGAAGCAAGTCAGACAACAGAATTTTCAAAATGGCAGACTGAGGTGATCCAACAACTGTTTCACAAACAAACAAATTCACACACAAACAGCCGTCGTAAATGCTGTTTTTATCCTCGTCCAAGCTGTTTAAATTATTTAAAACATTGTGCAGCTACGCCAAGTTTCATGAAATCGATCGTAAGTTTATTGCGCAGCTGCACAACAAATTTGTTGCACAAGTCTTACGCATAGCACAAGCTGCACACTTTTTCGTGAAATCGGCTGCTGGCAACAAATAAGAGATTTATAATCAGAAACAAATTAAAGAGAACGAAGCAATCTCTTGATATTTCTCAGAACGGTGATAAGAGACTTTTACAGTACTTCACCATATTGATCATTCGACATACAAATGATACATGTACATATTTGATTAAGAGCAACAATGCAGATTTAGGCCTATACAATGCACAGATTTCTCAAATGTGATGCATAACCTGTAAGTATCAACTCCGCGGGAAGACAGTGCATTGTTGCTTTTTAGCAATGAGATAATGTCTTTTACTGAGTAACCTTGACAGCTGTAACACTTTTTATTTGACTCACCATTTGAGTGGGAGTACTCTTCAGTGTGGCCAGTGCAAAGTATACCCGACCCAGCTCCGCTATCTTCAATGTAAAAGCCTGTTGAAAAAGCAACTGTCTCTCTTTAGAACTCACTCATAAGTATAAACGGAAGGATTAAAATAGGTATCGCAACAAATAAATACATGTATGCATGAAATTTCCCGAAACTACAATGAACTTTTATCAAGTATCTCCTGGAGTGACCTTATTATGGCAATTGAGGGGGGAAATAAGATTAAACAATGAATTGATTAGAATGTTTGTTAGTATGAAAAAGGTTTCATATTGGTCTATAATGAAGATGCTTTTGATATCCAGATGAACAGGTCCAGTTCCCCAACCCTGCTCACTATCCATGAATACCAAAAGATTCTGCGCTAATGAAAAGAACATTTCACGGTTAACAAGGAAAATAAATCACCGCAGAGTGCTGTGGTCCAATGGTTGCGGTGTTCGACCCACGTTCCTAAAGGGGAACATGGTGCTTGTGTTCTTGGGTAAGACACTTTACTACAATTGCTGCTCTCCACCCAGAAGTATAAATGGGATAACTGTGAAGGTATAGATACGAGAATGCGCTGATCTGGGGCTGCTGCAAAAACTGGTCTCATGGCCTGATGAACAGGGGTAATAATTGTAAAGTGCTTTTAGACCTTTGGTATGAAGTGCTATATAAGCACCACATTATTATTATCCTGTAAAATGGTTCTGTGATCTGCCCACAATTCTGTGCTAATGACAATGACATACAAATCGGGCCCAGGTTCCATATATTGGCTGTAGCTCTCAGGAACGGACCTGTCTACCCAGTAAAGGCTGGCCCATACTCGGCGCTAAAGGGAATGCCAAATTTGTTGAATTGACCTAATTTTTCATGCTGTATATTAGCAAAAGTTGAAAGCATATCATCAACTACGGCAAATTTCACTGCGAAAGATTTAGAATGTCAAATTCACTTTGCAATTTCACATGAAGTATGAACCTTCTTTTGGTAGAGATTATGGCGCCACTTTGAAACAAAGACAAATGGCACATAAATATTCCACAATATATCCTTTTTCAATCCAATCATACAGGATTGAATAAATTGACCAAAAAGAGGATGAAAATCAGCAATTTAGCACACATTTCACACTGATGCACTGTGAGCTATACACGCAGAGAACATACAATTCACATATGAAGCGATTCATACGACGTCACCAGACTACACGAACCATACCTGTACTCTTACATAATTAATTAATTGACATGAATAATTAATTTGTGTCCACTACTGACCTGTTGTTGAAGTTGTTCCAGTCCCTCCATCTGGTCTAATTTCTTGAGTATGAGTTCAGGACACTGAGAGCGTTTATATGCATAGAAATCCCTCACGTAGGATTTCACATCCAGCATCTGGTCTGAAGGACAAAATGCACAATCAAGAATGCAGCTTCAAAAAAGATGCTGCGGGGACAATCAACTGCTGCGGGTTTTTTTTTTGGGGGGGGGGTTTGTGACTTGGCTTAAGTCTTATGTATAATTTGCAGTTTTGCCATGATAATGCCTGGTCAAGCAGCTGTTTTAATTGTGCATGCTACAGCATTGAGATATAGCTCCATGGCTACATGTACGTATACATGTACATGATGTACATGTACTTGCTCTACATAACCACCCCACCCCCCTGTTGAAAACGGTCCTCTGTAGTAAGTTTGTGTGCTTAGTCTATAGAAGAGTGTCACACAGACAAAGGAAAACGCAAAGCATTGTCCAAAGGAGTATAGTAAAACAAGAGTGTATGTACATGTACATCACACAGGAACTTGTAAGGGCAAGACCTCAAGATAAACTACATGCTCATCAAGCAAGAACCCTTGGTTTGCGTGCAGTGCTGCACACAAGACCTTGTGCCAGAGCTAGCTAAACATCCTGTGTGGCAAATTCAAATTTAGTCAGTTGGATCACAGAAAAAGGACTTGTACACTGTGCTGTAAGGATATGGTCTTGAATTGGAAGAACAGAAATTGTACATGGAGGTACATGTGTGGATTGTGTATGACCAAATCCATGTACACCATACATGTACGACTGCTATGTAGTTGAACAATAAAACAGATGGTGAGTATAGTTTACATTAAAGCTTTGTTGTATAGAGAACATAGTAAAATGCAATCTAATTCCTGAGACTCCAAGCTTCTTATTTCTGCATATGTCTTTGCCAATTCCCCCACTCCCCCCCCCCCCCCCCCCCCAGGTTGTAAAAATATTGTGTCCCACAATATCACTGTGGTGAGTTATTTTTTAATCCCTACTGTAGTAGTTCGTTTTTTATTCGACGAAGTGGTGCAAGCGTTGACATGATGCACACGCACGTGGTTGCTATAATTCATTGGATCAGTGCGCGACATCACGTAGCTGCAATCGGCTCAGTGAGAACGTGTCTCAGACGCTGAATTCTGGCCTAATTCAAAACATAATTCGGCAGCATTTGATTTGAAATCAAGATCCTAGAATGTTGTTTTTCGCGGAATATACAGCTGAAGCTGAGCTGAACCTTCATCAGGTTAGTTGTTCAGCACCCTTCTATAGAATTCTAGGGCACGTTTGTTGAGCACGTTTGTTGCTTCAAACGAACAAAATGCACAAATTACAAATGATGGACTGTACCTTTAAAGTAGAGTTATAATAATTCTGCGGAATTCCATGCTGCTTATTATTATTTTTGATTATCACACACAAAACAAAACCCCTTCAATGAACCACAGTATACAAAAATTCCCAGAGCATGTTTGGATAGACCACTGCACTGCAGAAAATTCAAATTCAAACGACTGACTCTGCCAATCTGTAGAACTGTGTGTCAACGGGGCATGGCCCAAGCAATGCCTGTCAGCGAGATGATATTAATTAGTGCAATTAATGTCAATTCATTAGCATATTTTCTAACTGTGTTAAACTGTGCATTAATGTACAAGATGCATTTGAAATGCCTTTTCACCATCACGTGGCAGATAATATATTTCCTGTTTACCAAAGGCGCCCGCAATATTCACGCACAGGCTAAATACGCATGCAGAGCAGGTTGTCGCACGGGCTACCCGTGTGACAGTCTAATACACATGGGCTTTACAAAGCAATCGTGGAACTGTTGCACAGGTGAAGCACGCATGCGCGAACATTGCACACGTAAATGATTAGTGTTTTCCCAAGCTCAATGTTGCCGAATTAGAGAATATTGTGGACAATAAAGATGCCTGACCTGTACTAAAGAAAACGTTGTCCACAAACAATTGTATTTACAACCGTAGTTACTGTATTGCAAACGAACTGAACTTTTCGGAGGTTGAGCAATATTATTCTTCTGGTGAGCTAGACAAGTTTCTCGTATGACTTTTTGCCCGCGTGGTGCATACTGCGGAAAATTTGGCAACTGAATAAAAATATATTTATGAGGTATATAGTAAAACAATTATTATAACATGGTTTATTTTGAGTGGACAGTCTGTATTAGCTCCCTCAGTATTGGAAGTTGACAAACTAGTTCCCGAGGTGAAACTTCCCATACCTCGGGGAGCGAATATCCACTGTCCACCCTCAAACCGTGTTATAATTGTATATTAGCTTAGCCTTCATGTCCTTAACAGCAATACTGACCTTGCTGTAGACAATGTTCACGAATAAAAACTACTTTTTGTAAGTAAACGCAAAATTCATCCAATTTCAAGAGTCACAACTAAAATGTAATTAAAATGTGCATTACACTTTATGCATACTTGCTCCTATGGTGGGAGATGATGCAACCTAGCTATATCCAGAGTTGTTTTCTTCAGTCAGTGTCAGTCGTGAGTTCCTGTCAAGAGTCTTGAGTCTTGGGGCAAAGTGTTTGGACATGAGATTGGAGTTACAAGTCTTGAGTCAGTCTCAATTCTTGTCAGGCCCAATACTTGTCAGGCCCAATACTTGTCAAGACCAGACATGATCTCTACCTCTTTTTTGAACATGTGGGGCCCTAAAAAGGGCCGGGTTTTTTGGTGGTGCCTAGAGTGGCAGATTCATTTGTAGCTTGGTGGTGGTGTAGCACAGAGATTCTTGTTGGTGGTGCTTTGACCAGCACAGATGTTCTTGTTGCTTGCCTTGACCAGCACAGATGTCCTGGTTGCTTGCCTTGACCAGCACAGATGTCCTGGTTGCTTGCCTTGACCAGCACAGATGTCCTCGTTGCTTGTCTTGACCAGCACAGATGTTCTTGTTGCTTGCCTTGACTATCACAGATGTCCTTGTCGCTTGTTTTGACTAGCACATAAGTTGCTTGCCTTGACTAGCACAAATGTTCTTGCTGCTTGCCTTGACTAGCACAAATGTTCTTGCTGCTTGCCTTGACTACAATGACTAGCACAGACACTCTTGTTGCTTGCTTTGACCAACACCAATGTTCTTCTTGCTTGCCTTGACTAGCTCATATGTTCTTGTCGCTTGTTTTGACTAGCACATGTTGCTTGCCTTGAGTAGCACTGTTGTTCTTTTTGCTTGCCTTGACTAACACAGACATGTTTGTGGCTTCATTTGACTAGCACAGACCTTCTTGTTGCTGACTTCATTTTCGCATTGATACTTAAGTCCACTGAGGCAGATATCCCTTAATTCTTAAATGGGGTCAATAATCATTAACATTTTCGCAATGAACTCATTGTTTTCTTCTGGAGTGCCTTTCACCATGTCCACATGTACTCTCCATGTACTCTTCATCACTTTTCACTAAGTCCACAATCATTCTCTTTGGGGACAAGTTGCAATAGCTAATTTTTCACTCTCATTCACACAAACAGGGATGGACCTAGCCAAAAGCGCGAGCTTTTTTTCCGACCTTCTCAAACCGTGAGGGCAGATTTTAACACCCCCCTCCCAGATCTCTGCTGTCCCATGAAACTTGGCATGCAATAAAAACATTCATTTAAGTGTGTGAAGTTACACTTCAGTTTAAGAAACGGTTCTTTGTAATGGTCGTTGAGTTTTCACAGTTCACACTCTTAATTCTGCCTGCTTGTGTATGGTGCATTAAGAGATATAGGAAAAGTTCAATTTTGTGGCCGAGCAATCTTGGAAGAGTGGACATTTCGCGGGAACGGCAGATCCGATTTTCATAACATTGGAGTAAAAATGATCGTAAGACATTAGCAGATAAAATTCTGCTTGGCACAATGAAAAAATACACTGTGTAGCAATGCACGTACATGTACATGAATTGTTGGGACGAAGGCCTTATGTACACTGTAACAAATTTTGTATCAACAGATTTTTGATATGGACATAGAAAATTCACAGATTTTTTCCAACACAGGTAGTGTTTTTCAAAAAAGGGATTAGTGCACACAATTCCAGCTTACATAAATTCTTTAAATTAAGATGTTTAAATAACCCAATACAACATTAAAACACAGAAATAAAACTTAAAAGAGCTTGGATGATAGAGTGCTAATGCAAATAAATGTTGAAATTAAACATATTAAACAAAGCTGATACAAATCAAGCAGCACAAAAACCATGACATTTTATGACATGCCCCCCATCATGTGATAAAAAGTCATGACCCGGTGCTGTTACACACAATGCACTCTACATACTACGTATGTACATTTAATAAACAATGCACTCAATCTCCAAGCTCTTCGCCTTGTGGAACTGTGTGCAAGTCATCCGTTTTTCTACTCGTAATTAATATTGATGAAAACTGGATTAATTAATGTCGCCAATTTGATAACATATACATTTGTACACACTTACATACATGTGTGTGTGCTTGCACTGCATCTATATGCAAGGTCCATGCAATTTTAGAAAAGCGTTTTTAATACAGTGACTTTCAGTGTAAAGACGAACGCTGTAAATACAGTGAACAGAAGGCCTTGCTCCCTACTATGCATTACGTACGTCGACAACGTGCCCAAAGAATGGGACTGGCGCTCCTTTAGTTTGTCCATGCAACTTACAACAAAGCAAAGGCACTCTCACACAAATACTCACATACTCACACGAATCTGACATGTCGCTTTTGATAATCTTCAAACAGGGGCTCTGCCAGGACCTCACAATTCCAATCATCATCCTCATCACCTTCACCATCCTCTCCCACTGGTTCATATTCTACATTACACAGTCCGCCCTCTGCCTCACCCACAACTCTCCCTCTGTACCATACATTCTCACCATTCTCATCCAACCACAAATACTCTATCTCCCGTCCTATCACTTCAGTCACAGTCACTTCAATCTCTTTCAAATGCCCGCTCTCCCAATCCTGTAACAATCGGTCATTTGTATACTCGTACAATACCTCATTCCCATCATACCTGAAAATATACTTCCCCTGTTGCTTCTTCACTATCACACAAACGTTCTGCTCAGTCAGTCCCTCTGTCTCAGTACGGTGCACTAACAACCTCCCAATCAACTCATCTACATCCGAGCTTACTCTTGCACGCTTTGATGTTGTTGGCCCATCTTCCTCCGTTTCTGTTTCAATGACTGCACTCTCTTCAGCCTGTCCAACCCCTTTCAATAATTCTCTCATTTGTTTCACACTCACAGCCTTGCCCCTGCTTGACAAAAGACCCTTCTTGGCACCTTTCTCTCTTTGTTCTCTTCTTGCCTTCTGCTCCTTTTTTTCTTTCATCATTTTCTCTTTTTCTTCAAACCACCTCTGTCTTCTTTCAGCCAATTCCCTCCTTTGTTCCTTCACCGAGTCACTTGCCACTTTCATCATTTTTTTCTTCATTTCTGCCTCCAGTGAGTCTCTCCATTCACTAGTCTGATTTCTCCTGCACATTATGATGCCCTCAATCGCATATTCAGTTGCTCTTGGCTTTTCTCGCAGAAGCCTGTCGAACATCCCAAAATCTCTTTCAGCACCAACATTCGTCCTAGGTACACTCACCGTCTCACTCAAGGCCTCTGTACTCATCTCACTGTGCTCCCCACCACTCAACTGACTCTCCAACATCCTTTCTCCTAACTTATGAAATGCTTTGAACATACACTGCAACACATCCTTGCAGGCCCCATCATTTGCACACGGCTTTACCAAACTGTCAAAGACTTCATTCATTTCAATGGGCACATCATCATACATCTTCACCTCTCCCTGCACAACCTCGCTTGCATCTCGACTCCAATTCTCAAAGCAATTCATCATCCGTTCATACCTTTCACTCATGTCACTCATATGCTCCTTCACATTTAGCACCTTCCACAGAGGACCAGTCACTATCTTATCCATCAGACCCAACGCTCTCACACCTGTCCGATACTCGTCCACTTTGAGATCCTCATACACAGCTCTCATTAACTCATTCTCATCCTTCACTCTCTCAAAAAATTCGAGGAGATGGGGATACAGGAAGTACACTCCCGCACCATTATGAAACAAGATATTAAATCGATTGCCTCTAAACGGTGCGAGGTGTACATCACATATCCCCTTCTCGCTCTTCAAAAACACACGAAATCCCACAGGTTTTCCCGACTTCTCACACGCTCTATCCTGCACACTCTTGCACAAGGTTCGCACTAACCGCACCGTCCCACATCCACCTTCGACCGCTCCAGGCAGACTCATACTACCAACCTTTTTCTCGCCAAGCACATCTTTCTCCCACACCTTTAAGCACGCTCCTGCTTGGTTGGCTAAACCAACAACAAAATGCATACCACAAAAGAAGTTGTTCATCCTTTTCACACTTTTTTGTTCCTCCAAGCTCATTCCAGCCCATCCCTCCACAACCTTTGGCAACACAGTCGTTCTGTACTCCTTCAACATCACATTGAATTTCTTTTCAACAGCGTGACGATCGCTCATAGTATTCTTAACCGCTGCAACAATTTCATTCACAGTCTCACTACCTCCTTCACTCATTTTTGCAATATCCTTCACTACTTCTTGGAAACCATTCAATGTATGCGCTGCACTACCTGATACCATCGGTCGAAGCCCGAGCGTAAGCATCTGTCCAGATGCAAGTGATACATCATAAGTCCCGTAGTGGTAGCCCCACTTCGTTGTTCCATCTGTGCACAGTGTAGCAGAGCTACCACTTCCAGTAATTGCAGATGCACACTGCATCTGGGCCAACGCCCGGGCTTCCAGGAGCATCGTGCTTGCGAAACTACGCTTGGGCAATCTCTTCACATCCTTTGCACTCAACTTCTTTAGCACAATTCTCACAATCTTTTCCACATTATTTGCTCCCACATTCATTGTCATCAAGTCTTGATACACCTCTCTCACACAATCCACAAACTTCCCTCCCTTGAATGTACATATCTCCTCATCCTTCTCTAATTCCTCTACACGCTCCTGCACTCTCTCTTCAAAACTTTCTTCAAGCTCCATCTTCTCATACATCACCTCTCCATATGCCCGCTTTATCTCCTTTGCCTCCTTTTTAGCATCACGCACTTTTCCAGCCAAAACCTCAACCGTGTCAACCTTCTTCTTCAACTCCGATATTTTTTTCTGTGCTTTCACTTTCTTCTTCTTCTCTTTCTGCAGTGCTTCTTCTAGTCTAACATTCTTACCTTTCAGTGTCTCACACACATCCCCCAGCTCTTTCCTCACACTCTCTTCTCTTGCCTTTACTATTTCATCCATTTTAGTCAAATTCCTTTCGTTGTTAAAACACTTTGCCTGGAGCTCTTTTATCTGTCTATTCATCTGCAACATTTTCAGCATTCTCCTCTGCTCTTTTCTTTTAAAATTCTTAATCAATGCATTCCTCTTCTTTCTTCTCATTTTCAATTTCTTCATCTCCTTTTCCACTTGTTCTTTGTCTCTCACTGCTTCCTCATATTTTGCATTCAGTTCTCTATTGCTTGCATGCATTTCACACATCGCTTCTCTCATTGTATTCTTCTCCCTCTCATTCTCTCTTTCAACTTCAGCAAATCTTCTTTTCAGCTTCTCAACTTCACTCTTTCTCACATATCGTTCTGCTTCCAGTCTAACACCACTCGGGCCAGGCTCTTCCACATCGGTACTTACTGCTTCGGGCTGCACTTGCACCCCAACAAAGTCCTTCTTCAGCAACACGCAGACAGCATCATCCTTACCTTCCCTCTTACGTGCTTTCTGGCATTTTTTGTACGAGTTCTCAAGTCGATTGATCTTCATTGCAAATCCTTTCACTGGACCCTCATACCGGAAAAAATTCATTACTACATCTCGCACTTTCTCAACTTTCATCATCTTTCCGGCCTTCACATCTGTGCATTCTTTCCAAACATACCAAACAAATCCATTTTTCAGCATCTTACATTCCTTTTTCACTTCTTCACTCCAAGTCTCTCCCTCGCCCTTCGCGTACAGCTTCACCGCCTCCTCATCCAATCCAACATCCACACAAAAATCATGAAAACTCTTCATCACTCCCAAAGAAAACAAAGTCCACAAACCAAACAGAAATAAAAACCTTCAAATTCAATGGTAAAAATTGAAATTTAAAAAAGCGGGAAAAACACTGCCCAGTTGCCTTACGCTTTTTCCAGATCACAGTCAGTCACACGATGTACATGTACAGCAGGCCTACGGCTACGTTCGGCCTAAAATTACAACTCCTAAATCGGATTTTTAGTTTGGAATTTTGTTTTTCCTTTTTTGGTAATTGACTGAAACGGACAATATGAATTTAGCTTAACTTGGTGACGGTAACCTTCAGAAAATACGCACAAAAAGAAGCTCGAAAACGTCAGCGTCAGCTAGCTGAATCAAAGCAAGCGTAGCTAGATGTACGTGTAGTCTGGCCCCGCTCCATTTATTTACTGTGCGACGTGCGTTCGCGAACTAGCGAGGCGAATCACAGACTGAATCATCGGGTCAACTCCGGTCCGTAACCAACTCGGTCGGTGTCAACCCGGTCCTAAGTCAACTCGGTCTCTATGGAGATATGTACGCCAACTCGGTCTCTATGGAGATATGTACGCTTTGCGAGAACGGTCATGGGTCTAGCACCATTGAAAACAGTGTAAAATCATTGCAGCATAGTCCATCATTTGCAGCTATCCAAAAAGTGACAGACGTAATTATTGTTGAAAAACATACTTGGTTGAAAGATAGTAAGGGGACTTAACTCCCTGTGAAATTATTCTTTCTGGCATGATGTCATTTTGAAGAAATCAACGAAAGAAGGCCGTTCCTATGGTCACGTGTCTCGGACCCTGAATTCAGGCCCAATTCGTACTAAACATGATTCAGCAACTTTTGATTTGAATTGAGATCCTATAGAATGCTGTTTTTCTCGAAATATACAGCTGAAGCTGAGCTGAAACTTCATCAGGTTAGTTGCTCAGCACCCTTCTTTAGATTTGTAGCATGTTTAGCTGCTTTAAACGAACAAAATGCACAATTACAAATGATGGAATATACCTTTAAAGTTCAGGGCCAAAATACATTCAAGCCAACATCAATTAAATTATTGTCTTGTCTTTTTTCTCTTCATTTCTTTCAATTTAAGGTAGGTAAGCCAGTTACATTTTTGAATATTCACACCCAAACAAAATCATGTCCCGAAAAGTGATCCCAAGCCTGCAATGAAGCCATTTTACAAGTGGCATCCTTTCACAGGCAAGGCCCATTTTTTATCCGTATGAATTTCATCAAGCCTGCCCTCGAATGGATCATGGAAGCCCCCAAAACGGAGTTGATCCTTGGGGATATTTACGACAATTCCACCGTTTTTAAAGCCAAACGGTGTCCGTTTTCAAAAAGATGTTTTTGGGGCACTTTTTATGCCAATGACCTCGCGTAGAAATTCTCAATTGAATTAGTTCAGTTCACCCTCATGATCGTGAGTCGGACTGGTCGGACCGGTGTCGTGCCAAAAACCGTCCGGTGCCAAATAGTGTCCGCTAATTAGCACTGTCCGATTCCCCCTGCCAAATACTGTCCAATTTTTCCTGCCAAATACTGTCCGATCCCCCTGCTAAATATTGTCCGATTTTCCTGCCAAATAATGTCCGATTTTTCCTGCTAAATACTGTCCGATTCCCCCTGCCGATATTGTCTGATTCCCCTGCCACTGAATATTTTGTGTCCGATTTTCCTGCAACTGTCCGATTTTCCTGCAAAATACTGTCCGATTTTTCCTGCCAAATACCGTCCGATCCCCCCCCCCCCCTGCCAAATAGTGTCCGATATTCCTGCCAAACGCTGTCCGATTTTTCCTGCCAACAAATATTGTCCGATTCCCCCTTGCAAAATACTGTCCGATTTTTCCTGCAAAATACTGTCCGATTTTCCAGCTTAATACTGTCCGGCAGGCCGTACGTGCGTGCGACCTTGTTCTCAGTCGCTCGATCGACAGCGCCCGGACACTATTGGCACCGGTGTCACGGTCTCACTTCTCCGGCATGCTAGCTTCTCCGCAGAGGGAAATTTCGTCTCAACACGCATGCGCAAATTGGCAGTAGTGTACATTTCGCCAACTTTATTTGTGTGCTGAGTTCTTTGGGGTTGTACTGGCGAACGTGATATTTGTATGTACAAATGTATACATTACAAGGTACCAGTCGAATCCAGAATTTAATGTAAAAACGTGAATGTAAAAACGTGAAGGATACACATTTATTTTAAATCATTGGTTGCAAAAATAAAGACAACCACGAACGAGCAAGGAACACACCTTGCACAGACAAAGGAGTTCGTTCTTAATTACTCTTCCATGAACACACACACACGACGCTGGAAACACAAATCAGAGTAATTGCGCAAGACCATGGAATGACCCAGGGAATGACCATACTCCTCTCAAGCTTGACCCACAGGAAGTGTTACATAACACATTCTTGGGTGTCCCTCACTGTGTTATGGACTTGGTAGACTCCATAACACAGCCCGAGGAAAAGTAAGCACAGCGGACACATGAGCATGTATCGTGCTTATGTAACGTGCACTGTAACGTGATCAATTATCCGCCGCATTCACCCGGAGAATCCAGCACGCCGGAGAAGTGAGACCGTGACACCTGTCACTTGTATTGCGTGCCAAATAGTGTCTGGCGCCTACTGCGCATGCTCAGCGGACACTATTTGGCACCGGACGGTTTTTAGCACGACACCGGACCGGACCGGCCGCGCCGGCGCGGCATGAACCTTTGGCGGCCGGCAGTGGGCACGCGTACAGGCCGGCGGGCGGGCGCCCCGTGAAATCTCACGCTGCAGTAAACTGCAAAATGCTCAGTAAACTGCAAAATGCGGCAACAATCTCGATCACATATTTATACGTTTTCTTTCGTTCTTATTTGTATAAAATAAAGCAATAAAGAAAGCAGTGCCCATTAATTAAAAACAAGAGGTCACAAGGGCAGGTTTTTCGTATAAATATGTATCTCGGGAAACTTCAGGCAGCTGAGGATGAAATGAACATTTGGAAGGATTTCCGCTACAACTACAAAAATGCAAAATTTTGCCGATCATTTAAAAAAAATAAGGTTTGAACATTTTTCTCAAAACCAAAGGTTATGATCGATTGACGACAATCTTGCAAATTTCTGCTGAAAGATTTTTTTCGCGTGGCTCATCAGTGCCCCCTTCAAAATTGACCGTAGCGTGCATGCACGCTACGGCGCAGCCTAGCCGTGGTCATCATGGGCAGCCTGTGGCTATCAGCACTGCGAGACGACCTTGCACTTTTTTTGTAAATGATACCCCAGTTTTCGTGTTATGCCTCAATTTGCTTTTTTCACACTTCCGCCATTGGGTATGCAGAGCCTCGATCTGGCACTTCATTAGACTTCAATAAATATAGCATGAAATGTGGACTCATTGGTAGTACTGCGCATGTGTGAGTACGATACTACGCTATCGTTAGGATCGTTTCGGGAAAATGACCTGTCACGTGCGAGGGATGAACCAATAATAGGGAAATTGGGGTCCGATTTTCATAGGAGTCGGATTTTTATTAGACACCGGTTCAGTGATTCCCGTGATCACTGAACCGGCTATTTTTATTGTGTAAAGTTGCCAGATCGAGGCTCTGCATGCCTAATGGCAGAGTGTGAAAAGAGCGAATAAACAGGCTCGTTGCCTGATCGCTTCAAATCCCAAATTGAAACATGCAACCCTGGAGAGCGAAGCGGCGTGGGGTCTGGCGAGCGAAGGGTGCATGTCTTTCAAACCCCCTGAAACACCCCGACAAACGTTATGGGCCTGCAAACTCCCTGTGCGCTTTATGACGACAAAACCTGAGGCTGCATCATTTTCTTTTCTATGATCGTAATAATGTTGCATTTAAATACAATGTATCAAGATCGAGAATGTTGCCATATTGTGCAGCTTACTATTGCAGGGTGATTTACGCGTGGCGACGCCCGCCACGCAGGCCTGGCCTGATGTAAGCGCACCGCGGGCGGTGTGACCGTTCTTGCACGGCGTACATTTTCCCATAGGGACCGAGTCGACTAGGGACGAGTTGACACGGACCGAGTTGACGAGGACCGAGTTGGTTACGGACCTGAGTTGACCTGATCATTCAGTCTGTAATTAATTCGCCAGATGGATGAAAATATTTAAACCAAAGAACGTTTTTTCGAAAAGGTATGAGTTGCTCTACGACTAAGAACCTTAACTTTGGAAATTTGTGTCCTGGATGAAAAGATAATCTCGATCGAAATCTGTAGCAAAATCGCTACATCAGCGGCCAAAACAATTCAGTCTCTGTGGAAGCATTGCTTGGGCGTCTGGCCGTACTACATAGCTTGCGATAGTACTGTACGGCCAGACGCAGTCGGGCTAGATCACACCATGATTTGACAGAATAGCAAATTTGAAAAAAATTGGTACATTTGTTTAAAAAAAGCTTCAATCTTTTATTCAAACAATTCTTGCAAAATAGGACAGGTTGACTGGTCTAGGTGCTGAGGTTAACTGGCAAACAGACTTTGTCGTATAGCAACCCCTTTTTGCCTGAAATTTACGCAATTTTCATAGCATCTTTATGTGACTATGGATTATTTATAATGTAATTTGAACCATAATTAAGGCAAAAATCTGCATGTGAGTTTAAGTGTTTATAGTGTATTTCAAGTAATTCTGGGGAATTTGGCAGATTTTTTAATAAATCTGCCAGATTTTGAAGCGCATTTGGTCATGACCTTACGGTCACCCTGCAAATGTACGTACGTCTACGCTTGCATTGACTCGATTGCCGACTTTTTTGAGCTGCTTTTTGTGTGTATTTTCCGAAAGTTACGGTCACCAAGTTAAGCTAAATTTATATTGTCCATTTCAGTTAAGCACCAAACAACGCAAAACCAAATTCCTAACCAAAAATCTGATTTAGGAATTGATAGTTAATATTATATAAAAATTAATTAGGGGGGCAACAAAGTGTTAACGCGTTAATTTAATGTTGGGAGCGCAAGCTGGCAAGGCAAGGGAATCATATCATTATCATCAGGGAGTGTTTTGTTCCGCTTTTTCATAACAAATAACCAAAAAAGGGGCCTAAAGCCTGACATTAACAAGTGACTTTACAATTTACAAATTTTAATCAACTGGCATAGAGCCTATTCTTAAGTTAATTTCTGTTTGGTTTGTTTGCGTTTTATTGTGGACTTGGCCCTAGTTTTCTTTTGGAGTGAAAAAGAGTTTTCATGATTATTGTGTGGATGTTGGATTGGATGAGGAGGCGGTGAAGCTGTACGTGAAGGGCGAGGGTGAGATTTTGAGTGAAGAGGTGAAAAAAGGAATGTAAGATGCTGAAAAATGGATTTGTTTGGTATGTTTGGAAAGAATGCACGAATGTAAAGGTCGGAAAGATGATAAAAGCTGAGAAAGTGCGAGATTTTTTCCAGTATAAGTGTACAGTGGGGGGACTTACGATAAGGCTCAATCGACTTGAAGTACAAAAA